CGCGTGGACATCGCGACCCGAGAGCGCGCTCGGTGAGAGCCGGTGACCCAGGCCGATCGAAATCAAATGCCGCCGCACGTGCGAACGTTACGCGTCTCGAAGGTGCCAGCTCATTGCTCTGGAGCAGGCATTGCCCCACCTACCCCCCACCCCTGCCCCTCCTGAACCATCGGGCAGCATTAGAGAGCCGCCGAGGTGATTGAAACACCACGGCGGCAATCGGGCCGACAGGTCAACGCGAGACAACCACCCGCACCACCGCCTGCTGCTGCACACGCAGAACCCCCCCTCGGCCCCGCTGACTGAGCTCTCTCTCTCTCGCGCCGAGCGAAGATTGCGTTTAGGGCGTTTACCGTGCAACAAAGACAAGGATCCCCGTATAGCCTTAACAGACTGTAGGGGCAAGTGCTGTTAGCGAGCACCTAGAAAGGCCGGCACGTCACACGAGGGGGGTGGGTGACCAACACCACGCCCGGCCGCCTTCGTCTCCCTAGCGGCGATGTTTACACATCGTATCAGGTACTCATTTGAGGCTGAGTCGACCTACGGGAGGCCCAGGACCGGTTCAGATAATCGTCACCGGTGTTTGCCGTGAGCGGAAATCAAACCCGGGTCGCCAGGTTCTTAGTGCAGCGCGCTAACCGCTAATCGGTGAGGGAGTGAGTGGGTGAGTGGGCGCGTGTTGTGAGTGATTGGTTTCGTAGCTGTGACCTGCAGTGTGGCAGGGCTGAATTCAGTGTGGCCGAGTCCTCGGTATGCGAGGAGAAACGAAGAGGTGAAGTTCAGGGGAACGGTAAACCAGGGTCGTAGCAATAGAAGAGTGACAGGGAGGTGACTAGCGGCCGGTGAGTGATTGTGTTACTGGAGCGGATCACCGGATCACCGGTCATCCCGACTGCTTTTGCGTCGGATCGTATGGAGTGCGCGTGGGGTAGGAACCTGGGCGCTCCGTCCCATTTGTGACAGCAACAGGATCCCTCCAACTTTGTCCGAACGTTGCGTTTCATATCGTGTCGAATAGCTGTTCTTGCCATGGTGGCTCGGAGATGTTAACTACCTCGCCTGGTATACAGGAGGTCGTGGGTTCGATCACGACCCTGACGCCTGCTGTATATTTGGAGCTTGCGTGTCTCTCTCATCATCATCATCACGGTGGCTATGAGATGTTAACTACCTCGCCTGGTATGCAGGAGGTCGTGGGTTCGATCACGACTCTGATGCCTGCTGCTGTATATGTGGAGTTTTCCTCTCTCTATCTCATCATCATCACGGTGGCTAGGAGATGTTAACTACTTCGCCTGGTATACAGGAGGTCGTGGGTTCGATCACGACCCCTGACGCCTGCCGCTGTATATTTGGAGTTTGCGTGTCTCTCTCTCCCTGCGGTCGCGTGGATTTTTCTCCGAGCCCTCCCGGTTTTTCCCTCCGCATTTGGAAATCGACGTCACGCGTTTCGAGCATTTTGGCCGCTCAAAAATGTCCACGCGACGGATAAGCCGCTCCGTCGAGCGGAGATCGTTCGCGGTGGTCCAGGTCGCTTCTGAAAAAAGAGGTGCGTAAGCTCGGTTGGATTAAAATGATAAACAAAAAAAATATAAAAAAATCGCTCATAGTTTAAAATGACCTTGAGCCGCTCGCCGACGAGTTTGGCAAAGGAGCTCGTCAAAATTGCCGACGTTTTTTTTTATTGCTCGGAGCGCGTTGGGGAGGTGGTGGTCGGGGGAGCTGCTGCTCGCAACGCCGAAACGTTGGCTCAGACGCCGGAGGAAACTCTAAACGCAACGCGCAACAACCGGCCCGGCAAAACATCGCCGGCCAAACCGAATACCTCCTGGATTAAAAAAAACGTCTCTAAATAGGCGCGATCCGTCGTCCTTCGCAGAATAAACAAGTAAATAAATAAATGCGCCGTAACCTTGCGCCTCCCCTCCCCACTGCCTTTGTGGAGTTGAGCGGTGAGCGTGTGCCTGCGGTGCTGTGAGCAGGCCATAGAACTTCAGAGCGTAGTACGGTACAACAAGGGTGTGGAGGGCAAGCGAGATCCCACCCCCCCACTCCCCTCTTGTCTCTAGAGGAGGGCCCCTGACGGAGGCTGCACACCCGTGGGTTGGTTTGCAATCGTGAGCTTCAAGCGACGCGCGCTTCGTCCGCTTGGGTCGTGGGAGCGCCGCCCCGCCAAGCAGCTGGGGATGAGAAATTATTTCTATAGCAATAAAAAAAAAACTTTTCTATAAATTGCAAATACCAGCTATTAAAGCAAATCCTGGAATGAAAAATCGAAGGGAAAAAACGACCAGGACGGCCAAAAACGACATGGCTCAGTAACATCAAACATGGCTACAATTAACAACAGCACAAACTCTACACGCCGTGCTAGACCGGGACCAATATCATCGTGAAGTCGCACACGCCGTTAGGCAGCACTAAAGAAGAAGAAGTTGTATAAAAAAAAAGATTCTTTCAACGTGAATTGCCTAATGGAGATAACATTTTAAGTCGTTCATATTCGAAATCGCTGACTTGTGCCTCGGGGAGGTCTCGGGGCAGCTGTGAAGGCGTCCGAGTGAGAGATTTCCCTTCAGTCGTTGCGATGAGCAGCTTCCAGCATTCTGGCCACGCCGTTTGAGATCCATTCAGGGTGGTGAAGAAGGCGGCCATGGCTGTGATGAGAGGCGATATCACAACGCGAGGGTGCACTGTGAAAATACAGCATCTCACGGCTTTTGCCAGTGTCAAAGGGGCTATGTAGTGTGGACTTGAGGGTCATGGGGACAGCATTTGAGTGCCTTGTTGTTTTGTTCCGTATTGTTTATAAACGCCTCCCGTTGGTCGACAACACAGTTGTATCACTTTCACGGGGAGGCCAATAGCACGACGAGGTTTTCCTTAATTAGACCACCGTCTGGTCAGAGGTCACTCACAACAGCCCCACCTGGTGGACACGTCACGAGCCGCCATTGAACGCTGCGTAAAAAAAAGCCAAAGATGCAGCCCTGCAATTGCTTGCTGACGCAACTTCGCTTGGCCTACTCTTCCCAACCGGCCAGGCTTCTTTGACGAGGTGGGAGTCACCGGCACCCTCGCACCTCCGATTAGCACGGTTGGCTACGTACGGTGCGAAATAAGTTAAATGTACCGAACATTACGTACGCACTCCGCCGCAACCTGATGCAGGCAGTGATCAGAAGGAAACTGGCACTCTGGACGCCATAAGTAGAATGGACAACGGCAGGAAAGTTTAAAGTGTTGTTGTTCACACAATAAGAATGGAAGGAACTGGAAAGAGAGGAAGACCTCACAGAGAATGGCTTGACGATGACGAGGGCATCACAGCAGATTGGTACCAGAAAGACGCGGCCACTACTTGAGCCATATTGGCACAAGACAGAGAGAAAAGTGGAAGCAAATGACGAAATGTGCAGTGGACACCTACGGGGCGATCTGCCCATGGATCGTGATGATGATGATGGCTCCACCACCAGTGCCGGATGAAGCTAGTGCCGGGCCTGTAGGGGCCCAAAAAAAACACGTAAATATTTAAAAACTATTTTTTTAACTTGCACAGTAAAGTAATTGTATTTTTTCATTTGCTGTACAGCCGGATAATACGACAAATCGCTAAGCTTAAACGCCCAGTCGTTTGTAAAAGTTGAAGGCAGTATAGTACTATAAGAACAGAGCAAGTGCAGAATTACTAAACCGGAATTGATGGCATGAAAGCATTTAGCGCGGGACCCTTGAACGTGCGGGACCCGTATCTACTTATGTAGCTACTTGTGTTACTAGAATAATATAATCCGGCACTGCTCACCGCATGCAACCTGCCGATCAACTCCAGCGACGTTGTCGGGAAACCCGTTTAGTACTGCTGGGTGGACAGAGACGTGTGGTTTGAGTCAAGAAACTATCCCTCTTCCCCCCCCCACCTTCCCCTCCCCATATAAAAGTCCACGCACCCCGCTCGTGGTCCCCACTCGTTCGGGGCAGCAGCGAGCCCCCCATGCAATAAGGGGCCGTCCATAAATGACGTCACCCACCTGGGGGGGGGGGGGGTCACACATTTGTGACGATGTCTAACGGGGGGGGGGGGGGGGTTGAGAAATGTGACGTCACATCAAAATGCGCAACTTTAAATAATAATAAAATTGTTATAACAACACTAATTGTTTATAACAACACTCCTACATTTCGATTTAAAGCTTTCGTGACTGCAGGGATTCATCGTCTTGGTTCTTTCGGTAAGTCTTTACCGAAAGAACCAAAACACTCCTACAACATCAGAGTGCAGCGCCACATTAAATACGCACTACTATGACAATCGTTTAAAGCGATTTGAAGCATGTTTTATTTTCAAAATGGAAATATGGTTTTGGGGGGGGGGGGGGGCAGAGCTTTGTGACGTCATATTTGAGGGGGGGTTTGACTTTTTGTGACGCCGTGTGACGAAGGGGGGGGGAGGTCAAAAATCGTCCAAAATCGCGTGACGTCATTTATGGACGGCCCCTCAGGGTAACTTACTGGCGCGCGTTAGCGGGTAGTGGTGGTGTCGCGGTCAGCGCTACGCTGCGCTAAACCCACCCGGCGACCCGGGTTCGATTCCCGCTCATGGCCAACACCGGTGGCGATCTTCTGTACCGGTCCTGGGCCTCCCTTAGGTCGACTCAGCCTCAAATGAGTACCTGGTGCGGTGAGTAAACATCTTCACTGGGGAGACAAAGGCGATCAGGCGTGATGTTGGCCAACCCACCCCCTCGTGTGCCGTGCCGGCCTTCATAGGCGCTACTCGCGAGCAGCACTTGCCCCAACAGTCTGTTAAGGCTACACGGGGTACTGTGTCTTTGTGTGACCTACCATGCCGACGTTCTTGTCGAACCTGCCCACCGTCAACCGCGTTACAGAGACCGTCGCGTCAAATGCATTTCCAGCGCAAAACCATATTTTGTTGATGTTTTGTTCTCTCGACGTTTCTCCCCGCCCTGCCCCCTCCGTCCACCCCGCAGGATGACGAGGTGGTGCTGCAATGCACGGCCTCGAAGCTCAAGGAGGCCGTCAAGGTGTGTCTGGCGGCGGAGGGCTTCGGAAACCGCCTCTGCTTCCTGGAGTCTACGACCAACTCCAGGGTGAGTCGACGTTCAGGCGCTACACCACCCACCCACCACCACCACCACCCACCCACCACCACCACCCACCACCACTCACCCACCACCACCCACCCACCACCCACCCACCACCACCACCACCCACCACCCACCACCACCCACCCACCACCACCACCCACCACCCATCCACCACCACCACCCACCACCCACCCACCACCACCCACCACCTACCCACCACCACCCACCCACCACCACCATCACCCATCACCACCACCCACCACCCATCCACCCACCACCCACCCACCACCACCCACCACCCACCCACCACCACCCACCACCACCCACCACCACCCACCCACCCACCACCATCCACCCACCACCACCCATCCACTACCACCACCACCCATCCACCACCCATCCACTACCACCCATCCACCACCACCACCCACCCACCACCACCCACCACCACCCACCCACCACCACCACGCACCACCACCACCCACCACCACCCACCCACCACCACCACCACCCACCACCACCCACCGACCACCACCACCACCCCACCACCACCACCACCGACCACCACCCACCACCTACCCACCACCACCCACCAACCACCCACCACCACCCACCCACCACCACCACCACCACCCACCACCACCACCCACCCACCACCTACCCACCACCACCCACCAACCACCCACCACCACCCACCCACCACCACCACCACTCACCACCACCACCCACCCACCACCACCCACCACCCACCACCACCCACCCACCACCACCACCACCCACCACCCACCACCACCCACCACCTACCCACCACCACCCACCACCCACCCACCACCACCCACCACCTACCCACCACCACCCATCACCACCCACCACCCACCCACCACCACCTACCACCACTCACCCACCACCACCCACCACCCACCCACCACCACCCACCACCTACCCACCACCACCACCCACCACCACCCACCCACCACCACCACCACCACCACCCACCACCACCACCCACCACCCATCCACCACCACCCACCCACCACCACCACCTACCACCACTCACCCACCACCACCCACCACCCACCCACCACCACCCACCACCTACCCACCACCACCCACCCACCACCACCACCCACCACCACCCACCCACCACCACCACCACCACCACCCACCACCACCACCCACCACCCATCCACCACCACCCACCCACCACCACCCACCATCACCCACCACCACTCACCCACCACCACCCACCCACCACCACCTGCCCCGAGCCTCATCCCCCGGTGGCGAGATGTTATCTCCCTCGCCTGGTGTGCAGGAGGTCGTGAGTTTCGATCGCGACCCTGACGACAACGCCTGTGTAATTGGGAGTTTGCGAGTTTCTCTCTCTCACCGTGGTCGCTTGGATTTTCCCCCCCTCCGGGGGTCATCCGGTTTTCCCCTCCACATTTATCAAACACGCGCTTAGATACACTTGTTGACTGCTATACATTTCCCAGGTGATAAGTCACTTCGTTGACCTATCATTTGTGGCCATATTTGCTATGCGCCAGTGCCGGATGAAGTTAGTGCAGGGCCTGTAGCATGATGTTATAAAGGGGCCCTAAATAAAAAAAAAACTCAGAAATATTAAAACACAAATGGTTTACTTGCATAGTAAAGTAATTGCATTTTTTCATTTGCTATACAGCCGGATAATACGACAAATCGCTAACCTTAAACACCCAGTCGTTCATAAAAATTTAAGGCAGTGTAGTACTATAGTAATAGAGCAAGTGCAGAATCACTGAACCGGAATTGATAGCTTGAAAGCACATATCAATCCAATTGAGGGCACTGCTATAATCTCCGAAAATCAAGACGTAGCTACAACATTTCGGGTGATCCGAATTGTTGATTTGGGATCGATACTAAAGCATGACGTCACCGGAAACGACGTCACCACAATCGATGCCACTTCTTTCCCTGCACCTTCCTGCCAAGAGGTGGCAGCGCCACGTGGCTCTGGGTGAGGCCGCTTCGGTTGGCACGAAGACGCCTTGGTCATTGCGCAATATACATGAATCATCATCATTCATCATCATAACCAGCCGGGGTCAATCCACTGCTGGATCAAGACCTCCCCAATCCGATGCCACCGACGTCATCATCGACCTGGCACCTGCACTTGGAATTATTTCGTGAAAACGTCCGACAAAACCCTCTAAAATGATGTAAATATCTTAAATAAATATCCCTTTATCTGCCTTTCATTTTTCTTTCTTTTCTACTCTGAGATCAATGAGCATACGTAGGGGCTACTGCTGTTACGCTCGATCTTGGATGTGGCGTACCCTGAATCTTTGCTCTCCTCTACTTATTATTGTTGAAGGTGCAAATATAATTACAATATAAATGATTAAAACACTGTTAAATTATTTTTTCATCTGAAAATCATCTCCAGTCTTAGTAACACAATCAATAAGCGGACGACGCCTCCTTCGCGTATCTGTGCCTCCACGTGAAAAAACAAGCAACTGTTGTGAAACACATCCCATCAGCCGCACGGCCTTTTGAGAGCGCACAATACCAGCAGCGTTGGTTCAATTACAAAGCAAACTGAGTGAGCGGTTTTGACATTGGCTGTTGCATCCCACTGGGATTTTTGCACACAGCGTTGGTGTACGGTGTTTTTTTCTGCAATATTTTGCTGTCTTTTCTTGGATTTTCTGTTTGCACTCAGTCACATATTCACTTTAAAATGTTTTTTTTTTCATGTTTTTGTTTTTTGTTTGTTGCGGTTGCACCAGATTCAAGAGCCGAATGGCTCACAGGGCTACACCTAATAAATTAATTTGAACTGTCTCATCGTCGTCCTCGCGTGAAGCAAGTGTTCTCCCATTCGCTCTCTCTCTCTCCCCACCGTGCTCCTGCAGAATGTGCCTCCAGATCTCTCCATCTGCATCTTCGTGCTGGAGCAGTCTCTGTCGGTGCGAGCCCTGCAGGAGATGCTGGCCAGCAACGAGGACAAGATGGAAGGGGTGAGTGGCCACCGCGTGCTGGGCAAAAGTCGTCAACCGGCTTGTGGATCACTCCTCCTTTTGGGGTAGTCGGTGGTGAGGGTCGAGGCTAGGCGGCGTTCGTTCAAGGAGACGCTGCACGTGTGAACGTTGGCGGAGCGAGGTGTTTAGCGAACTCGTAGAGGTTTCCAAGTAGATTCAAGGTGCCCTGGATTTATATAGTGAAACATATATAACAAACGACGTCGGAGTGCACCGGATGATCGTGCACGAGACGGGTGCAGGATACACGGCAGGTGGAGGTGAGACGCGGCGATGATGGGTGACGATGCTGCTACAGGTAATCCACGGGGGTTGCAGTTTTGCACATTTGGGGGCCCTAAGCAGAAAATATCATCGCGCCGCACATTTTCAATTTGCAATATCTTCGTCAGATGACTCGAGGTATATCGATGAGCCGAGGTAAGGAAATGTAGACAGAGCTGTAGTGAGAAGAGAGATGCAGACAAGGTGCAAGAGAGATTCACGTGTTATGTCCATTCCCTTGTTGAATTCCAGCTGACATTTAATGTTGCCTCATTTATTTATTTTTCGACATTAAATCTGCAGCCCTCTTAAGCCATCACACGGTCCAATTTTATTTCGCTTGGGGTTCTCTCACTCCTGCCGCCAACACTGCCAGGGGGTTAAACTTCGCGCCCATCCGTGCCCTCCGAGGTACGCGAGACCCACGTTGCTGCAGACGGCGTTTTGCATTCTGTGGTGGATGCCACCCCCTGTGTGAGTGTGTCCCATAGGTGGGGAGCGGTGGCGCAGCGGTTAGCGCTACGCTGCGCTACGAACCTGGCCACCCGAGTTCGATTCCCGCTCACGTCAAACACCGGTGATGGTTATCTGAACCGGTCCCCGGGGCTCCCCTAGGTCGACTTGGCCTCAACTGAGTGCCAGTGCCGGATTAAGCTGGTGCGGGGCCTGTAGCATATGTTATAAAGGGGCCCTAAAACACTTAAATATTAAAGCACTTATATTTTTAACTTGTGTAGTAAAGTAATCGTATTTTTTCATTTGCTATACAGCCAGATAATACGATACCACATTGGGAAGTGGGTTAAAATTAAGTTACAAGATTTGAGGATACAACAACAACGACAACCACAACAGACAGAGTGAGTTAAATGAAAGCGTGTAATAAAAACTAGAGCTACTGCCCGAACCCGTCGTCTTTCATACGTAAATATATATATGCCTTTTAGGGCCAGTTGAGTTTATTATTACTTATTCGTCCATAAGGTGTGAACTTTGAATTTGAGTCCCACTTGCTAAGATGTAGAAGCCACGCTGCCATAGTTCCAGCTGTCATTGACCCGCGCACGTTTTTTCGTGTGATGGGTTCGTGCCGTCAACGTAACGACGCCTGGGACTTGTGGTGAGCCCCTCTGAGAATCGTATCAACCAAACCCAGTCCAGTCGAATCGTTACTTCGCAAGGAAGATGGGACAACGGTCCAGAAAGAAAGAAAACAAAAACGCACCAACGTGGATCTTTGTGTTGCAAGGGTCACCTCGGCTACGTCCAAATCGAAGATCGCGACGTGAATTAAATCCCACCTGGAGCGGAGGGAGGGAGGGAGGGTGAGTGGGTAGTGTGGAGGAGAGAGATAAGGGAAGCGAGATCGTGAATGTGGAATTTCCTTCGCTGGCTTGGGGCCGCAAACATGACGTGGGAATATTCAAATTGCTTTATTGAGTGGGAGACCACGTTGATTGTATTCACTATCATTATTATAACAACAAAAACTAGCTTATAATCTGTGGTTATATTTTTCGGACCCAAATTATTGTGCGAAGAAAGAAAACTCATTATTTATTTTTTCACTAAACTTTGTTTTGAGAATTGAATCAACCACCGTCTTGTGTAGATATTTCAGCTTCGTAGTTCATGGGTCCAGATAAAATGTTGTCCTCATTGGTTCCACCAGCGATGGCAAAACTTGAGTTATACCATCATCTTTAAATCGGCAATAAAATGTAATTATACAATAACATTATTTTATAAGTGCAATACGCGATCACCTAATACACATTTATCAGTGAAAATGCAGAAACTGGAATCGTTTCCACCCCTTCTGGTACTGAATTCTGCTCTGGCCCACAGATGATGTATCTCAGATATTTTAGTTTAGTGTCTGCATCAGAGAGACAGAGAGAGAGCAAGAGAGACAGATCCATGAAGGCTGAGTGGCAAAGGCTGGGAATCGAAACGTCATTTGATGTATACCTGCATACCAGCGTTGCAACCGCAATGCTTTTCACTGGAGTCTACGGACGTGAAAACAAATTATACATTTACCACAAGCAAACGCGTAACGACGGTCGGATCGTTAGACATAGGCAACAAATGAAGCTCATGAATGCACTAAGTTATCCTTATGCAACTTAAGAAAACGCAACTGAATCTCCATTTTTTTGTCGTGAAACTGATTTGTTTTGCTCTGTGTTTTCTTGTGTGTGTGTTTTTTTGTTTTATTTGTCGATGACAGAATGTTGACATGGAGAAATGGGTATGTTCCCTTTTTTAGGTTTTTTTTCCTAAGTTTCCCCGTCACTCTAAACATCTCTCCCTCCCGTGTGACGGTGTCTCCTTGGTTGTCTCACTCGTTTTTATGTCCTCTTCTTGCCTCCCTCTCCTACTCACTTTGTCCGTGAGCAATTTAAAGCTGACATGCCCGGCGACTCGACCATTGACCCACGCAAGCCCCCCCCCCCCGTCCCCCCCCCGTGGGATTATTCTGCGGATTAAAAAAACAACCCGAAATAGTAACAACTAACAGCTGTGAATTTCGGTGTAAGAACGAGGAAATTTATACCAATGTTTGCCCGTGGCATTTTGTCACTTGCCGTATATATATATTTAGAAAAAGACATATCTATGCATTCGTTAAATGTTTGGGGTTTAAAAAAAAACATGCGTACGCGTGGATTATGTCAACGGTTTCCAACATGTGTATACCGTGGCCACTGCAGCGGCGCACATTGTAATTTGACCTCGAGGTTTGAATTTACACGGTTGGCTGAGATCGGGCATGGCGGCTTTAAGTTCTGTTTGTCAATTTAACTCATTGAGTCTGACCAGCACAGGTGAAGAATTCCTCCCCACCCCAACCCTCCAAAAAAAAAACCTCCCAACAACTACAACTATATTGACAACAACAACACAAACAAAGTCAAACAGGGCAACTGACATTCAAACGACCCACAGACAATTCAGGTGACAAAATAAAATGGGGTCAAATGCGGCTCCCGCATTTTGCCTCGCGACCCATCGCTCTCTGCTGAAATCCGAGAGAATTTCCGCACGGCCACGCTGCGTTTTGGGGCTAGGGCGGGGGGTCGAGGCACGACAACATACGGCGATTTAAAAGTTGCTCTGTTTAACGGCGGTGTTGGACTGGCTAACTCTCACGCGTCTCAGCATTCCCCCTCCTCCCCCCCTCCGTGTTCGCTCTGTCGCCTGTCGTCCTCGTCGTCCACCATGTCCCCCTTCCTTTTCTTTCAGCTTGGATTTTATTTCTCTCTCCAAATGATTCCTTCCCAACCACCCTCCCCCTCCTCTCCCCACCCACCAACCCACCCACCAACCCACCAACCAAGCCACCCCCCACCATCGTGCAAACAGAAACAAAAAACCTTCCGATGAATCCATTCCGTCCAAATCACAAACCCGTTGCCCCCTACCTTTTGATTCTCCTCGAAGTTTAGCGGAGGCTGAAATTGGGGGGGTCGGGGGGGGGGTGGTCTGGGTCTGCGTTTGCTTTGCACGCGCCCCCCAGATTTCGGTTGACCGATTTTGTGTTTCCAGCGTAGGATCCTTGATGTCCGCAGACGATAGAGCTAGCCAACGCAGGCACAATTCAACGTTTGAGAAGATAACCGTCGACTACAAACGGTGATAAATAAACAATCTTCATTGCGAATATTAAAATATATAGGCAATAATGTATTGGTCACATGAATAATAGTAATAATGCGTTTTAATGATGTATGCATCAACTTAATTATAATAATATAAATATACTGTAAGGAGAGATCATGTGCCTATGTTCAGAGACATTGCATTATGTGGTAATGCAATGAACACACAGAAGAGTGCACATAGGTACACTGGGCCTTTAAACAGAGACCAGACGCACACACCGCGTGCACACACACACACAGTTCAGGACACCCACTGTAAGTCTAGCACACAACTTCTAACTACTATTCACCACCTCACCTGGTATACAGGAGGTCGTGGGTTCGATCCCGACCCTGACACCTGTATATTTGGAGTTTGCATGTTCTCCCCGTGGTCATGTGGATTTTTCTCCGGGTCCTCCTTTTTTTTTCTTCCCCCCTCTGCATTTCGAATGAACGTGCGTTCAAAGCATTTGTCTGATATACATTTCCACACCATGATAAGCCACTTCCTTGAGCTTTCATTTGTGGCCAGGTCGCTTCCGAGAAAGAGCTACACGGTTCAGTGGGCCTAACCTGGTCAAATAAAACATAGATTAGTTTATAATCTGGCCTTCATGCCCTTTGGAAAAAAATGTCAACAATGTTCATTTAATATATGCTTTACAAAAGCCACCCATGTCATTACATATACACACACATCGCATGTCATTTCATCTATGCACATGCTATATATGTAACGTCAAATTGGTTACTAAGTAACGTAAATTTACGTGTTCCCGACGTTAATGTAAGACGTTAAGTTAGCATCGTCACTGATGGACAGGAAGTAAGCTGTACACGGAATTTGTTGAAATTGGCCACGAAAGAAATAGAATTGAGAAGACATTTGATGATGAAAGTCATGATTATAATAATAGGAATGGGTTTGTTTTGGATATGTCGTATTACTGACCGAAACTGTTCACAAATGTGTCTTCTAACAAGTGTATTTCACCTTGGTATGCTTTGGTTACAGTGTTCATTAATGACCTTGGTATTGACGATGCAACTGGTGATTGTTGAATTGCGTTGTTAATAACCTGTGTTGTAACTAATTTGACCGTTACTCCTAATCAAACCTCAAAAATGTATTTGACCCTTCCGTGTCAACGTTGACCCCTCCGTCCCCTCCCTCTCAGTGTCATTAAATGTCCCCTCGTGTACTCACTAACAACACTTTCTGGAATCCGAGCTAACATGTGTTTTTTGTTTTTTTTCTTCTCCTGTTTTAACGCAAAAAAAAATATGTGTGTGTGTGTACGCTAAACATTGCAAACCGATGTAGAAAATGTTGCTCAAGGTAAGTTTGCACTTGTTTATTCAAATACAAAGCAATCAACCGACGGCTGTGAACCCGTTTGTTAACAGCAGGCAAGTGGTGTCTCACGGGCCAACGTGTTGTAGCATCAACATATATAGGTACATGATGTGTGTATATATACATACACATTACAACAATTTACAGCCCCTTTGCCAATCCGTGGCTGGATTGAAGGCCCTGGTTTCTCCGTTTAAATATAACAGCTCTCCTTCACATTTAACGTTTCGTACAGATTTAACGAGTATAACTATTCTTTGTACGTATTTATTTGAAGCAAATATACGGAACAAGAGCACCACTTGGCGGAGTTTCTCGGAGCACGCTTCGTATTCACGGCAGTAGAAACGTGAATGTCGACGCTTGCCCAATGTGCACCGTGGACGCGTTGCGTTAAAACGCAGTCGGCTCTCGATTATCCGCGGGCATGTAATTATCGGTTCCAGGTCCGCTCGATTTTAACCGTGCGCTCGCGAAGAACCCAACAACAACAAACCCGACAACGGCGATGCACCCCCCGCGCGTGCCGTTTGAATTGTTCGCTGCACCGTCCCGCGGTGTGGGGGGGGGGGGGGGGTCGGTGACGGCTAACCACTTGGCCGCACGGCAGAGGTCGCAACCGGGTACCCGATACCCGTACCCTACCCGATACCCAGCTACCCGTACCCGGCCGGGTACAGGTACCCGTTTGCGACCCTGGTGCGGCCGGGTACGGGTACGGGTAGGCCGTGAGTCACTGGTGAGTAACCGTTTGTCACTCATTTCGGGTAGGGTACGGGTACGGGTAGGGAACGAGTACCCGTACCCGGCCGGGTACGGGAACCCATTTGCGACCCTGGTGCGGCCGGGTACGGGTAAGGAATCAAAACCCGTTTGCGATCTCTGCCACACGGCGCTGTCTGCGAGCGAACCGACCGCAATTCCACGGACCTCGTCCCGCCGGACATCTGTGCGCAAGCCCCCAAACAAAGCAAAACAGCTCGAAAGCGTCCGGTGTAAATAAATACTCTTTCAAATAAATATTCCGAGGTTAGCGTTGAAATGGAACCACGAGGCTGAGGCTGAGCTAGGCCGTGGCAAGATGTTAATTACCTCGCCTGGTATACAGGAGGTCTTGGGTTCGATCCTGACCCTGACGCCTGGAGATTGCGTGCTCTCGCTGTGGCCGCGTGGAATTTTCTCCAGGTCCCTCCGGTTTTTCCCTCCTCATTTAGAATCGACGCGCGTTCAGAGCATTTTGGCTGCAATCAAATCCCACGCGATAAGCCACCGATTTCGTTGAGCTATCATTTGTGATAGCCAGGTCGCTTCTTAAAAAGGGCGACACAGCTGAGTGGTAAAATAAATCAAATACAAATTAGGAAATAGGTTTAGGGCACGGGCCTAGTAAGACTTGACCACGAATCCGCAGGTTGTCGTCAACAAGGCATGGGCTGTGGCTAAAAATACAACATGCCGACTACATGGACACCTCAAGCCACCTCTCCTGTCCCCCCACTCCCCTCTGTGCTCCGGATATTCGAGAGTTGACTGTGCAGCTAAAATGTATATTTGCAAATTTACGCTGTACGTGAATACATGAGAGGCAGTCAAAAAGTGTTTTTTTCTTTTCTACCAGACACTACATTTTGATATTCTCATCTTGTCCACGTAACCGCGCAGCAAAGCCGTGAGTGGATTGTGACGGCAAAAAGACGGACCCGGCGTTCGCCCGCTTATTGCCGAGGTCACATGGTTTGAACCCAGCGGCCCGCCCTGGTTAACACCGCGGCTGCATTAACCGTGAGCGCTACACGCCCGTCTGCTTCGCGGTGGGCATTGAAGATCCCTTTGAAGTTATTCTAAACGGAGGAGGTCGTTGTTGCCTGCTGGCGGCAATGCCTTGAGATGTGGTGCTTCGGAGGCGCCGGTAATAAACGATCGGTGGTGATGTTTTAATGAAATGGCGTTAAGAAGTCGCTTAAATTGTGAGCCGTTGCTTTTAAATTTGAACACAATTGGGAGTTTTGTAAAAGCCTTTTTGACTGCCATTCGTGTCTGTCTTGCGTGTACGTGTTATAGCTTGTAAAATATATAAATGCTATACTGTATAATTGTGCAAATGCTGTATGTATGCTTGGCTCATTAAATGCTAACAAAAAAATATAATAATGACTTAATAAAATTTATATTAAAAGTTAAACAGCAACGACGATGATAACAATAATATGGATAGCAATAATGACAAATTATCGTGCGCTGTGCAAGGTGGCTCGGCATTAAGCCGGTACGGCTGAGAACCTGGGTTCGATTCCAGGGTTTATCTGCCCAAGCATGTGACTAAACCAAATTTGATAGCTTGAGTGTATGGACTCGGCCTGGTCACCAATGACTGCGTATAAAAAATATATATTTAATGCGTTCCCTCGACTTGGTTAAATTTAATCTCAAATAACTAAAAATATAAAATAGTGAGATTGGAATTTTTGATAAAAAAAATAATTCAGCTCCCCCCCCCTCCCCTCCCACCGATGTGGATAAGAGGTCACTCGAAGGGATCTCAGAAGTGGTTCTGTGGTATCACCTTCTGCGGGCCTCTCTTCAACACACAGAGTGGTGGGGGAGGGGGGGAGGAATTCGCCGCTCAGCGAGCATTCTGATTGGACCCTTCGTCTCGTGGCGCGTGACGCCGACCACGGCAGTTGGAAATAATTTGGGGGGGGGGGCGTGGGGGAGGAGGTTGGTTAAGGTCAATTTATTTTAACAAATAGAAAATATGCTTTGTCCTCAAAATAGCGTGGCCAGATTTTATTGTGTCCCACATAAACTGGGATGTTCGGGAATAATCCTGAAATTTGGGGAGAAAAATTGAGAACATTTAAGAAAAAAATACTTTTTTGAAGTTCAAATCTTTTCGGGGCTCTAAAATCAACGTTGACTTCATTGGTACCTCATTTGCCAGTAAAAAAACAATTATCATATTTTTTACTGGCAAATGAGGTACCAATGGTGTAAATGCTTACTCCGAGCTATCATACTCTGATGGTGCATTATCTTTGAGTTGTGCGCCTTTTGGCGTCATCTGGTCCAACCCATGTGAGACTAGGCTCGAAGGAAAGCTGTCTCGGGTGTGGACCAATCAACTTCAAGGACAGTGCATACATTATCAGAGTTATGTTTTTTGTTTGCATTATGACTGCAGGTATTGTGGTCTATGCAAACATGACTCCTCGTAAAAAAGGCGTCAGTTTTGTTGCCAGATAAAAGGGTAAAAAAAAACAATTATCAACGTTGACTTGTTGCTAAGTGCATCGACTCGTGCGCTTTATTGCAACGTGCGCGAAAGTAAACACGAGTAACGAACTACATCGATACTCTTCGATTTAAAGCTTTCGTGACTGCAGGGATTCATCTTCTTGGTTCTTTCGGTAAAGTCACGTAGAAGGGAAATAATAAAATAATAAAAAGAAAGCATAATTAAATAATTCAGACGCTGTCTTCCCGACAGACCTGTTCTTCACCTGAGAACGGCTGCTTGCGTTGTGGCCGAAACGTTGTGAGAATTATTTTATAATATTTTATTTTTATTATTTTATTATTTCCCTTCTACGTGACTTTACCGAAAGAACCAAGAAGATACATCGATACTCTTTGGTTCTTTCGGTAAAGTCACGTAGGTATAAAATGAAATAGATCACGACGTTTCGGGCGCAACACAAGCGTCCGTCATCACTTGAAAGAACCAACGAGTATGGATTCCTGCAGTCACGAAAGCTTCAAATCAACATTGAATCACATTGACCTGTAGGCACGAGGCCCACCGTTCAACCTTCAGTGGAATATAACGTGGGGGGGGGGGGGGGGGGTTGGGGGGTGGGTTGTGTTCACGTTTGTTGGGCTTAAACGGTCTCGACCGTCAGCCGGTTATTTTGAGGATGCGACTATCGACGTCCTCGCGCGACCCGCAATGTGACGACCTCCACGCCGCGTCCAAGCAGGAGGTCGACCGCCGTCGGCTCGCGAGGTCGAGTCGATGCACAGGTGGGATGCGTGGAGGCAAGACGCGGAGGTGCGTCGGGAAGGTTCATCACCGGCCGTAACCCACCCCTACCCCGACCCCCACACGATCCCGCCACGCTCCCCGCGCTGACGAGTGCCTCTGTGTGTGTGGGGCGAGCACAGACGGCACAGGGAGGTGGACACAGGACGCTGCTGTACGGACACGCGATCCTCCTGCGGCACTCCTACAGCGGGATGGTGGGTTCCGTTCTCTCTCTCTCGAAGCACCACTGGTGGATGTGTGTGGAGGGGGCACAGGAGGTGTGGGGCGTGGGGGTGGCCGATGGGGGTGATCCCCTCTTCCCCCCCCCCCATGGGAAGTTGGGACAAAGGGGGGCAGGAGGGGGGTGAGGGGGTGGGAGGCGATCGCTGGGTTCACATTTGGAACGAGAAGAAATAACCCGGCTCCCCCCCGGGCACTTTGAAATCGCTCGCAATCCTGCGATGCCGCAATCCTTCTCCCGCTCCACCCCGCGTTGGTCGCGCGGTGGGCCCTCTTCCCTCCTTTTGGCTGCCGTTCTGTCACCAGTCTCGTCCACCGGCCGTCAATCATCTCCAGTCGTGGCACGTCTTACCCAAGCCCCACTTACTTCCCCAGCTGCTCGGTGTCTTCGATTCGCATGCGATCCCTGATCCACGCGTTCCTCTTCCTGTCACCCAACGGAATTCCAATGACCCACCTCTGCGTGTGTTGCATTACGTGTGCGCGCAGCGAGTTGGTGCGGTGGGGAGTACGGGTGGTGCATCTGCCCGTCATCCCAGTCGGTTAACCCCGTAACACCTGACTCTGTCTTGCCGCGGCCTCATGCCAGCGACGAGACTTTCACACTTCACGGGACAGTCTCAAAGTGCACCTAGCCTGGCACCAGCGCTGCGGTGACGTCACCGCCACATGGTGGCGAATGGCGGCTGCTGCTGCTGCTGCTGTTGTCTGTGTGGAGTAGCGCCCTGCACTACGAATCCTGCCACCTGAGTTCAATTCGCAGCTGTGGCTACCATGGGCAGGTGATATCAGAACCAGTGTTGTGTGCCTCCCCTGTGTCGAAGTTAGCCTCAGATGAGTAGCTAGCGTGGTGTGGCCACACCATCCCCACTTGAGCCGTGCTGGCTACATGGGGGAGGGGGGGGGGGGGTCCGTGTGGTTTTGTGTGTCTGTGTGTGCGTGTGGGTAGCGGTAGTGTAGCGGTTAGCGCGCTGCGCTACGAACCTGGCGACCCAATTTCGATTTCCACTCGCGGCCAACGCCGGTGACGATTATCTGAACCGGTCCTGGGCCTCCTCCCCTAGGTCAACTCAGCCTTAAATGAGTACCTGTTGCGGTTTGTAAACAACGCCACCGGAGAGACAAAGGCGGCTGGGCCCGGTGCCGCTGGCCACCCAAACCCTCGTGTGCCGTTCGGGCCTTCATGGCTGCTGCTCGCTAACGGCACTTGCCCTGACAGTCCGTTAAGGCTATACGGGGGGGGCACCTTTGTCTTTGTGTGTGTGTGCGTGTTTTGACCTTGCAGTACTTGAGCTGCCTGTCGACGTCGAGGTCTTCGACAGACAAACTCGCGTTCGACGTCGGGCTCCAGCAAGACGCGTCAGGTGCGTGCGACCGTGTCCCCCCCCCCCCCGCCATTGCTTCCGTGGAAGGAAATTCATGTTGTCGGGAATTTAACGCTAGGGCAGATTTTATTGATTTATTTTTGTAAATCACTTTACCAAAAAAAATATAAATTATATCATGTAGTTTTCCATTTATCCATAATAGAGTTTTCTTGGGTTAGATCGTGTAAATATATATGTGTTGTCAAACCCACCACCACCCGACACAGCCAATTAGTGAGGTTTGTCATGTAAACAACGTGGCCAATTCGTTACTAGTACAACACACACGGCCGAAAGCCACCATCGCCGCCGCCGCTGCTGCTACAGCTACGAGGATGACCAGATTTTGCGCGACGATGGCTTATGCTCCCTGACGAGCTCGGCATTGATCGATAGTTCGATTCCTGCCACGGACACCCAGAGACGCACGCGTCCTTGTGCGCGCCGTGGCCCAGCGCAAATCGGGAGCCGTGCCACGTGATTGAGTTGGTTGTCGACGTGGTCCCTCCCCTGCGCAGGCGAGTCGTGCTGGTGGACAATTCACCCGGCGTCCAAGCAGCGCTCGGAGGGAGAGAAGGTCCGGGTGGGAGACGACCTCATCCTGGTCAGCGTCTCGTCGGAGCGCTACCTGGTGAGACGGCCCGTCGCGGTCGCGTCTCGTCGCGTCTCTCCCCCGGGGACGGCCGCCATCCTCGCCCCCATCTCTGTCGCGTTCCATCCTGGGGCCCTCTCCTGTCTCTTGTCCTTTCACGGCTGCACACACTCTCAATGTCGGGCACCCCGTAGGTCAGCGACCAGACAGTCAGATGGTTGTGATCAGCCCATGAGTACGTCGCTTGGATTAGAAACACGCCTTTAAGTTGTGGAGATGATTTGGCTGCTGAAAATGGCCACGTGAAGAAGCCATTTCGTTGAGCCATCATTTGTTGCGAGGTCTCTTCTGAAAAAAAAGTAATATCTCAGTGGGCTTTACCCGGTACAATAAAATCTTTAGTTTTATTTGTAAACTTTTTTTAATTTGCTTACACTTTGCACTCCTATCGTGTTTTTGTATCGTTTGTTGTTGTAACGTTCTGACCCGCCCCTACTGGACATCTGTGAAAACACATTCCTTTGGAGGGAGCTGGTAGGAACGTTGGGTTGCTCGGTCAATGGCCAGGGTCAACGGCGGCGTGGTGTATTCCGCAAATATGCCCGAATGTGAGGGCGGGCACAAGCCGGTGTGAGTAGGTTAAACGTTGAGTTTTATAAGGGCACCACGGGGTGACCAGCCCCTCCCCACCCAGCTCCACCCCTCCCACCCCCCACCCAGCCCCACCCAACCACCGGGCCACAGACCGCTACCGGTCCGTGGCCTGTTAGGAACCGGGCCGCATAGCAGCAGGAGGTAAGAGCGGTGAGACCACGCGTGGCCCGCCCCCATTGTTTTATTATTCACCACTTCCATCCGCATCTCTTTCCCGCACTGCGCACTTGTCTCAGTCACCATGTAGCTAACCCCACAAGCTCTAACCCCTAGCCAAAATAAGTAAACAACAAACGTGGCTGGAGTTCTTCTTTGAAAAGGGGGAAAGACCCAATGATGAACCCCCCCCCCCCCCCGGTCCGTGAAAAAATTGTCTTCCACGAAACCGGTCCCTGGTGCCAAAAAGGTTGGGGACCGCTGGTTTAGAGTATTTGACTGCTCTAAATTTCCACACGATCATAAGCCAATTCCTTGGGCTTATAATTTGTGAGCTTGGCCAGGTCAATCTCTGAAAAAGAGCTATATAGCTCAGTGAGGCCTTACCTGGGGAAAAAAACAAGTTTATTCAGCCACTCGGTGGCCTCTGTGGAGGGCAAATGTGGGCGACGCTTCGTCTGCGGCGTGGGCGGCACGGGTAGCGGGCGCCGTGGGGCTCGCGTTGCCGGCGCCGCGTGACCGGCTCCGTGTCTCTGCGCGGCAGCACCTCTCCTACGCCACGGGAGGCCTCAACGTGGACGCGTCGTTTCAACAAACGCTCTGGAATGTCGCTCCGACGTCGTCCGGCAGCGAGATCGCGCAGGGTGAGTGCCGGAGACGGCTCGGTAGCCGAGGGGGTGGGTGGCGCGTTTGCGGTGGCGGGTAAAAAAAAACAAAAATGAAATATATTTGAATTTCAACAGCAATAATGATCATGGGACCTCGTTTGCCAGTACCAAGATATACTAATAGGGGTTTTCCCCTTTTTTCTGGCAACAAAACTGACACCTTTTGCAAGGAATCATGCTTACATTAACCACAATACTTGCAGTCAAATGCAAACCAAAAACAATACTCTGATCATTTATGCATTGTCTTTGAAACTGATTGGTCCACACCAGAGACAGCTTTCTTTAGAGCGTCATCTGGTCGAACACCATATGAGACTAGGCTCTAAAGAAAGCTATCTCTGGTGTGGACCAATCAGTTTCAAAGACAATGCATAAATGATCAGAGTATTGTTTTTGGTTTGCATTTGACTGCAAGTATTGTGGTTAATGTAAGCATGATTCCTTGCAAAAGGTGTCAGTTTTGTTGCCAGAAAAAAAGGGGAAAAACCCTTTCAGCAATAATGATGATAACAATAATATAGATAATTATAAAACAACATCGTGTGCTGTGGAAGGTGGCTCGGCATTAAACAATCACGGCCGAGATCCTGGGTTTGATTCCATAATTGTCATTGTTGTCAGCCATGAGCAAGCCACTGCTGGATGGATGGGCTTCCCAATTACTTTTTTAACTCAAATATGAGTCGCCAACATTTTCTGGGAAAATACGTTGGGCACGTTCATAGTGGGTTGCGTGTAATAACAAGCATACAATGGAGAGACAAGGGATAATTTAATCATGTAAAATGTATTAACATTTTTTTGGTCATAATATTTTTAGTCCATTGGCCTTTGGGATTGTGGAACCGATGTTTCCCGGCAGTGTTGGTGCAAGTAGGAACATTTCTGTACCATATTCTTGGTTCTTTCGGTAAAGTCACGTAGATAGAAAATAAAAATAATCAAATAAAATTAAAATAAAATTTTTGTTTTTTAAATAAATAGAAAATGATAAAAGCAAAAAAACCCACGACGTTTCGATCGCAACACAAGCGGTCTTCATCAGGCGTGTCTTCAGCGAAAGAACCCAGAATATGAATTCCTGCAGTCACGAAAGTTTTAAGTCCAAATTTTTGCACCACTTTTGACTTTCTGAGTCTCATAAGCACAGCCAGCCGTCCTGTTAACCAACTGCTACTCAGTCGCCGGATGCTCTCGTAAATATATTCGTATGTTGAACTTCTTTCGCACAGTACGTAGTACGATACGAATCTGTATGAGCTTATCGACAGTCCCGATTGGTCAGACGACTGGATGCTTGTTAAGACGAGGCCCCGCGATTGGCTGACCGCCGCTGCTCTGCTGCAGGCTTTTTGATTGGTGGGGACGTCTTGCGCCTCTTCCACGGTCACATGGACGAGTGCCTCACCGTCCCGTCCGCCGACCTCCCCGAGGAGCAGCGAAGGTTTGGGACTGCACGTTGGCCCCGGAAATACGTTCCCCGAGCGAGCGAATGTGGATCCGCGGTTCCAACAGATACGCTGCCCGAGCGAGCGAATGTGGATCCGCGGTTCCAGCGTGTCACGCGGCGGCCACCCGGGTCTTCGCTCGCTCTTGAAGGGAGAGAGAGAGAGAGAGTACCACTCCCGAGGAGCGCGAGGAAGCACGGACGGGCAGGCTGTGGGCCGTCGCTGTAAACTCTCTCAAGCTCTGCGGTCCTCTATGTGTTGAGATGTTTTTGGGGCCAATTACTGAATGTTTATGCACGTGGGAGGAGAGAGGAGGACTACGGAGAAAACCCGCACGTGCGACGGGGCAAAGCTCGATCCCATACAGGTGGAACAGATGGAGATTATTCCACACTCCGCTTTAGCGCGTTCTGCTGATGAGATGGGGCCCAGAGCTCCTCGCCGCCGCCTCCGCACTGCTGGTCTGCATGGCTCAGAGGTCGCAAGCACCAAGCAGTCAGTAACAAACAGCACTGTAAGAGTTGGAACAGATGATGAATTGAGCGAACTTATTAGAACTTGGGAAAGGAGGCAATGGGAGAGGAAATTCCCAAGTCGAGCGGTGTTTAGGAAGGAGCGGGAAGAGAAAGTGCAGTGGCCTACAGTGTGAGTCAGGAGTGAGCGAGTAAGCAGTGAGTCAGTGAGTGCTGGAGTGAGTCAGTGAGAAGTCGGTCGGTGAGGAGTGAGCCAGTAGGTTCATGGAGTGAGTCGGTGAGGAGTGAGTCAGGAACGAGTGAGTCAGTAAGGAGTGAGTCAGTGAGTCGGCGAGGAGTGATCCGGTGGGCGGTGGAATGAGTCAGTAAGGAGTGAGTCAGTAAGGAGTGAATCAGTAAGCAGTGAGTCAGTGAGTGCTGGAGTGAGTCAGTGAGAAGTCGGTCGGTGAGGAGTGAGTAAGTAGGTTCATGGAGTGAGTCGGTGAGGAGTGAGTCAGGAACGAGTGAGTCAGGAACGAGTGAGTCAGTAAGGAGTGAGTCAGTGAGTCGGCGAGGAGTGATCCCGTGGGCGGTGGAGTGAGTCAGTAAGGAGTGAGTCAGTAAGGAGTGAGTCAGTAAGGTGTGAGTCAGTGAGGAGTGAGTCAGTGAGGAGTGAGTCAGTGAGTGCTGGAGTGAGTCAGTAAGAAGTCGGTCGGTGAGGAGTGAGCCAGTAGGTTCATGGAGTGAGTCGGTGAGGAGTGAGTCAGGAACGAGTGAGTCAGTAAGGAGTGAGTCAGTAAGGAGTGAGTCAGTGAGTCGGCGAGGAGTGAGTTGGTGGGCGATGGAGTGAATCAGTAAGGAGTGAGTCAGTAAGGAGTGAGTCAGTAAGGAGTGAGTCAGTGAGTCGGCGAGGAGTGAGTTGGTGGGCGGTGGAGTGACGGCATGCGGCGTGCCGTTGACCCTGTTGCCTTGTGCCGGCCGGCGCGTGCGTGCAGGTCGGTGCACTACGAAGCCGGCGCCGTGTGCTCTCACGCCCGCTCCCTGTGGCGCTTGGAGACTCTGCGAGTCAGGTGACCGCGCGTCAGCACGCACGTCGGCACGCGAACTTGGTCATGCGTTCTGGATGACCGCGGTCGGATACTCTCCATTGGTGTGCGACCGTGGTCATCCAGAACAGACCGTGACGACGTGTAAACGATGCAACGCCCCCGATCCACAAATACTCAGGAGGCATCACGGCGATGCACTCCGCTTGCTCCTGCTGATGCGCTTATCTTTCCTTGAACCACCTGCATGTGAGAATGCGGTTGTCGTGTCTGCGTCTGCACCAGCCAGCCGTAGGGAAAAAAGAGATTCGGTGGCAGAGAGGAGAAACGCACCCATGTTGGCTGTGATTGATAAGTAACCCAGGCCCGTGCGGGAGGTGTTGCTAGAAGGGATTGATGGCTGGCGGTCGAGACTAATGGCCGAGTGGCAGCCAAAGGTGGAGAGAAGATGCCCGAGAGGGTGGCCTGGTGCGGAGATGAAGCGAGGGAATTTGCGGTCGTGCGCGGGAGCTCAATTGACTGTTGCGTTGCGAGACCCTGATAGATGGTGACGGCTGAGAGAGAGACCATCCTCCAGAAGTGGATAGATCATGGCTGATGATGACAATCTTAATTTGTCTATTTGTCAGTCCGCACACTCCCTTGGGTGATTGTCATCATGCAGAGTTAAACAGGGGCTCATTCTGACGGGAGGGAACCAGCTGATCTCACGGGATTTAGAAATCACTCAACCCGCTTTCCAGTCCTCCGCCCATCCTCTTGCCACCACGTGGTATTAATGCCATTCATGTAGCGCAAGGCTGGCACCGAGGCGCCGTTTCACAAGCACAGTCCGCAGCCGTCCCACGGTTGGGCGCGACGCTGCGAACGTGCGGTCCCCGTTGAGCAGTCGGCCGCGCGACGTTCACCAGGGCGGCCTGCTTGATTCGAATCTGCTTAACGTTCCGCCCCCCCCCCCCCCCCCGTAGCTGGAGCGGAAACCACGTGCGCTGGGGGCAGCCGTTCCGGCTCAAGCACATTACGACCGGGAAATACCTGGGCCTCACGGAGGACAAGACGCTGTGCCTGCAGGACCGCGAGAAGTCCGACGTCAAGTCCACCGCATTCTGCTTCCGAATTTCCAAGGTACCCTCGACCCACCTCCCCCAACCCCCCCCCCCCACCCCGGACATTCATCGTCAGTCATCGTCATTGTCACACACCGCAAGTGTAAAAACAAAAGTGCCCGAGCGTCAATGGAATCAAGCTCGGTTTGAATGGAGCGCCGCACACGAGGGTGGCATGAGAATCTCGACAAAGTTTTTTGTTTTTTGACGATCAGTTAAACGGTGTACACCGCGGCGTCAACAAGGTAAAGGCGCATCCATGCAATCGCTCGCTCACGCTCCTGCTGGCGGAAGGGACTCCGCCAGAGGGAGCTTTCGAGAGTGTTTGGCCCCAAGATCTCTGCAGTGTGGCAGTTAACTTCCGTTGTCAATGCGCACAGCAACCACTGGAAATGCACGGCGTTATTCAGGTGAAGAATTCCGCCATGGTTCCATCGTTTGCTTTGAGCGGAGCGACTCCGTGGCTTGAGAGGCGTGCGTGGGGAGCAGGCCACGGTTGAGAAACGTTGCGACGCCCTTGGCGATGCCCGTCACGACCCCCGTGGCCCTTGTTGAGCTGTGAACAGTGGCCTCCAACGATGGGTCGTGCGCTGTGGCGATGCAGGAAAAGCTTGACTCTGGGCCCAAGCGCGAGATCGATGGGATGGGGCCTCCGGAGATCAAGTACGGGGACTCGGTGTGCTTCGTGCAGCACGTGGACAGCGGCCTGTGGCTCACGTACCAGGCTCCGGACTCCAAGACCGCCCGCCTGGGCATCCTCATCCGCAAGGTGCGCGCCCACCTCTCAGATCTGTCGCTCCCGCCTCTCAGATCTGTCGCGCCTGTCTCCGCGACTGCGAGTGCGTCCCATGAACACGGGCCGGGCAGGCGAGCGGGCACAGCTCATACCTTACAGTAGGTGGGGATCTCCTTGGGTGGGGGCACGCGCACCACCCGTACCTGATCGTAGGTGGGGATCTCCTTGCCGTTAGTGAAACGTGAGGAGTCCGCTGCCGATGTCGATGCTGATGTTGTTGCGCCTCTGCCCTTGCTACCCCCCAAACTCACGGCACCGCGCCGTGAAGCAGTTGCTGCCCTTGACGCTGATCTACGTTCATTGAAGTTCTTTCGCCCCGCACGTAGGGAACCGTGCTAGTCGGAGGTGCGGATGTGATGGTGTTTTTGTGCCGTTATTGGGGACTGGGCGGACACCATCAACTCACTGCAATTCATAACCCAGTTTAACCGAAGGTGTCTGCCTAGAATCTGAACCAGCATCTCAGTGGTGCCAGCTCATTGTTATTTTTGTTACGTACTCTTAGGTTTTTTTTCGGTGAAGTCACGTAGATAAAAATAAATAATAAAAATTATAGAAATAAAATTATAAATCACGACGTTTCAGAGGCAACACAAGTCTCCGTCATCAGGTGGGACCGTCACAGCTAAATTTACTGTATCAAATAAATCTAGCTGTGACGGTCCCACCTGATGACGGAGACTTGTGTTGCCTTCGAAACGTCGTGGTTTATAATTTTATTTCTATTATTATTTCTATTATTTTTATTTATTATTATTTATTTTTACCTACGTGACTTTGCCGAAAAAACCTAAGAGTATGAATCCTTGTAGTCACGAAAGCTTCAAATCTATTTTTGTTACGCTCGCTTACCCAAGAAACCCTCGCTGAGTCTCAGGACTCTTGTAATGAGGGTCTTGCCAAGTTTTAGCCGCAGCAGGAGGAGGCAATGATGGCTAAGTGTGATTGCAATTGGGTGATTTGTGGGTAATTTTTCAAGTTTAATCAAATTTGGAGCACAATGCCGGCACACAGTGGCCTACTGTTTTGTTTTTTAATGACGCCGCAGGATATTTAACGTCCACTGTGCAGCAGATGGAACCTAGCATTTTACGATTAATGCCTCCGCAGTATTATCCAGGGCAGCTAAATCGGATTCGAACCCCCGAACCTCCGTAACATCGGCGAACGCACGATTGCCTAGCCGTGTCGCCACCGCCAAATGGATTCTGGAATCGGCGATTAACATTTTATTGAAAAGCAAAATTCCATTCAGATTTTTGACACTTGCGTTATATATCCATCAATCTCGTGGACAGTCTGGACAAATATTATCCAGAAACATTTATTAAGGCGACGGATATGTTGCTTGGATTGACACGTAGTGGCACAGTTGATGCATCTCTGCCTGCCCAATGAACGAAATACTGAAATTAACAACGAAACGTCGCAGTGAACGTCACCGGATGTTTCCCGTCTTATAGGGGATCCCGAAACATCCCCAATCGCTGTAGGCCAGGCCTGGGCGCGTTGAGCACTCTGGTGGTGCTTCAGTCGCTTTTGTACGGCCAGTGGCGAGCAACCGTCTTGAGATCAGGTTGCCAGCGACTTTTGCCACCAACTCGCTCGCTCCGCGCGAGGGTCGGCGAATCGCAGACGCGCGGGCGACCCCGGGCTGACGACACCGCCACTCGTCGCACGTTCGCGGCTCCCGGCTAACAACACCGCCACGTGTCCCACGGTCGTGGCTCCCAACCGACGACACCGCCACTCGTGTGCAGTGACGCTCGTACGCGCCTCCCTCCTCCCCTCCCCACCCCACACTGGCTCCCCCTCCGTATATAGTCACGCGGACGCACTTACGGCTGCACTTTAAAGTGGCTTGCGAGGGTGCGCGGTTGACACTTTTATTTTCGTTTGCAACGCCGTTGGGGAGACGCTTATTTTTAGCGGGATGTGTAACGGATGCTACGGCTGGCCCGCCAGCAGTCGTGCCGACCGACCGGGACAAGTCGCCGCTGATCGCCGAGGAGGAAACCGCGGCGCTCCTTCCACGGAAGAGAAAGCCGCCGCTTTGGCCGATTTTGCTTTCTCAGTTCGGTGCCTGAGGAATACACAGGGTGGCCCAAATGTCAGGACACGCGGGGTATTAATATGCATATATTTTAGCAAATCGCATAGGGTTATTACATTTCTGTCAACAATTTTTCGAACTGACTTATGGTAACTTGAATGCGTGCAGTGGATTATGTTTCAAAATAAATTTAGGACTCTTTTTAAAGATTGCAGGTGTAATTACAGTGTAGAGACTCCTCTACTTACGAACGTTCGATTTACGAACTTTCAGAGAAACGAAAATACCTGCCCGTATGTTCGGTTGCCTGTTTCGACCGAGAGTCCTAATTTCAACCGCCGTGCAATAGATGGCGACAGTGGCATATACATCTGCAGAACATGAAGACACCAGCGGCATTTATGTCTACAGAAGATTATAAACTTTTAAAGCCATTCCCCGTGTTTAGTGTAGATGCCGTACAACACGTTTGGAATCGACAGGAGTAGAGTTGAACTGCGGAACAAATCGACTGATGAACAGACCTCTGGAACCTAACTCGTTCGCAAGTAGAAGAAGACACTGTGCTTATGTTTTGAGTTCTCAATTCAGTGCAACAATGGATCGTTCTGCACTGCCCTCTGATGACAACGGAGCCCCATAGCAGCAGCAGCCTATAGCACCTGTTGGTGTATGGCGGTTGCCCGACCAATAGCTATCCAGGCCGAAACCAGCTTAGCTTCTGAGATATGATGACATCAGGCACATTCCGGGCGATGAGTCATCGGCCACGAGTTACTCTTCGAACGCGTAGACGTCATTTACGATTTTGTAGGCCGCTGGCTTAGGATCCCAACGACGCGAGTTCAATTCCTGGCACGGGTTCAATTCCCTCGGCCTGCCTCCGAGTGCCAAGCGCAAGTCCCTTGAGTGATATTCGAATGTGAATGCGAGCGCCACTCGCAAATGTGAACCTGGTTTGTGCCCCTCTTGGGTCGAGCCGGCATAAAGCGAGCACACGACACAGTGGGATGTTTTTTTTCCGATGCTGAACACTGGCTAAGGAGAGACTAAAGCATCGCCAATCCATGAATGTGGCATTGTGCGGTGTTAATGGGCTCTCGCTAATGGTACCGGTTCGCTCGTAACACAGCCCAAACGCGAGGACTAGATGTTTGGTTTTTGCATGCATGTAAATACACCGTTGTTTAAATTAAAATGACACATTCCATCCAACGGTCAATCAATCAAACGTCGGTGACAGGAGTGTATTTGACCATACTTCACCATGCTGGTCAGTGCACATTGGCGAGGAGGAGGAGAGGAGGACAGGCCCCAGAACCGGTTCGAATGTTAATCACCACCGACGGTAGCCTTGGCCAGGAATCAAACTCAGGTCTCGAGTTTTTCCGCCTTTCCAGTCCAGACCAAATCCGCATGCATTTCTCAGTAGCCTCCAAGCCCGTCAGAACCGTGCAGTACCCTGCAAACGAAGTTCAGCCGTGAGGTCCCGGCACAAGGACCCCCTGAATCGATTCCTGCCACGAGAACAGAGACGGAAATTCCCGGACCGTCCTCGTCGGGACCTGGGCAGGTGGTGGCCCCCTGCGCGGGCCGCCGGGTTCGTAGCAAAGTTCGCTAACCACTGTGCCACCCCTCCACGCTGACTGCCGCATACTGCTTGGGAGTATACTCGTGTGTTGTTTCACCGCGCCGCGAGCCGTGGCTACGAAATGCAGCTGTCACGTAAAATTGTGAACTAAAGTTTATTTTTATTTTTTTACTTTGTATTTTACCACCAGTTAAGGTGCAATGAGTTGTGTAGCTATTTTTCAGAAGCGGCCAGGCCCCCAATTGATCACTCACCGAAGCGGATTGTCATCTTGTGGAAATTTATAGCAGGCAAATGCTCTAAACGCACGTTGATTCTAATCGTGGAGGGAAAAACTGGAGGACCAGACCCGGAGAAAAATCCACACAACCACAGGGAGAGAGACAATCTGACTCCAAATATGCAGCAGGCGTCAGGGTCGGAATCTAATCCCACGACCTCCTGCACACGGGGCGAGGTAGTGAACATTTCGCCACTGCGGCGCCCAACGTTGACGCGCTGTGGTTTGAGTGTGAGGTCACGCCGACCCCCACGTGGAGTTGACCCCTCTGTGCTCCTCGCGTCCACACGGCAGGCGATAGTCCACCAGGAGGGACACATGGACGATGGGCTGACGCTGTCTCGCTCCCGGCCCGAAGACTCGCGCACGGCTCGAATCATCCGCAGCACCACCGCACTCTTCAACAGCTTCAACAGGTAACGGCAGCCGAGCGGGCCAGTGAGGGTCGCACCGTAGCATCTGCTGGGCATCTGCAAAAAATATTGGACGTCTGTGAAAAAGAGCTTCACAGCTTATTGGATCCCTTCGGTAAAAATAAGCATTCAGATTCTGATTCCGTATCGCTGCACGACGCGAGTTCGGGTCGCGCCCCCACCGTGTGTTGTTCGGCGCTGGCTGTGCGACATTTCGCCCACCACTGACCTTCACAAACACGTTTCAGGACGAACAAAACTTTGGCGAAAAGTGCATTGTTGCCCTTCGGAACCATGATCGAAAACCGGCCCAAATTGCGTCAAAAGGGGTTTCCCATTGATTTTATGGGAATTTATGAGAAAACCCAGAAGCGTTTGGTCATGCTATGGTGGGGCCCACGGTTTGAGACTGGTCCCTGTAGTTTGGGGAAATTCCTGTTTTTCAATCGGTGTAGGATAAGGCCGCATCTGCCGTGCGGTGCAATGCGCACCACTCTTTTCGGGGTAGATTGACGCCACCAGGTCTTCCTGTGGGGTTGGCGACTTAATTAAAGTGCCAACTAATGACATTGGCATTGTCCTGGGTTGCTCGCCGCTGACCGTCAGGATGGAATGAGGGCATTTTGAAAAGTGTGCATGCGATCTCAAAGTGGCTTGCGCGGGACTTTAATTGCAGTTTTGGCTGGCCATCGGACAAGGACGGTCACTGCGTCGCACGCAATCAGACGCGCTTCTGCGGCCATCTGGAACGCTCTGGAGCTGCACACTTTTAAATGATAATCAAGATTGAAAATTCATTTCTCTAGAACTGCTTTTTGTGTTTAGTTTGTTGTCCTTCTCCCCACACCTCCGATTAGCACGGTTGGACACGTATGGGGCGGAAGAAGTTCAACAGACATAAACACAATCCTGACATGCACCCGTTTTTTCTTTCCTTTCCCCCTTGCTAATCCTCCCGTGTCCACTGTCGATGCACGCTTGACTCCCGGGCAACGCGACACCGTGGTATCATGACACCGTGACACCGTGACACCACGACACCTTGACACTGTGATACCACGACATCATGACACCGTGACACCGGGACATCATGACACCGTTACACCGTTACACCATAACACCGCGACATCGTGATACTGTGACACCGTGACACCACGACATCATGACACCGTTACACCGTTACACCGTTACACCATAACACCGTGACACCCTGACACTGCCACACGATACCTGGACACCGCTGACACCGCCATCGACACCACCGACACCGTCGACGACGCAGCGGGCTGGACGCGCTGCGAGCCAAAAACCGCCCGGTGCGCGTGGAGCTGCCCTTCGTCGCCATCCGCCTGAGCCTCCAGGACCTCATCGACTACTTCCAGCCACCGTCGGACAGCCTGGAGCACGAGGAGAAGCAGATCCACCTGCGCTCGCTCAAGAATCGGCAGAACCTCTTCCAGGAGGAGGTGAGCGGGGGGGGGGGCGGCATCGAGCCACGCGGCGCGCTGCATGGCGCCACGCCATTTTGCCCACCGCGCCCCCTGCCCTCGATCATTCTATGAGCCCCCCCCCTCCCCCGCTGCCTTTGGCAGTCGATAGCAGCCGCTCGGTTTGGGGAATTCCCTCCCGTCGTGCCTGTTCTCAAACGTTACTTCATGACCTTTGCCCCAGTTCAAGAAGCACGTGAGCTCTTAACATCTCGTTTTGAACTTTGATATGTACCCACGTACGTACGTGTGTGTGTGTATGTATTTCGAGACGATGTAGACAACAGACAGGAGATGTAGCGAGATGAGAGCAAAGGGGGATGCAGAAGAGAGAGGGAGAGATGGAATGAGATGAGAGAGGATGTGGACAACAGACAGAGATGTAGTGAGGGGAAGGACAGCAAACTAAAGACAAAAAGCAGTTCTAAAGAAATGAGCTGTCAATCGAGATGATTTAAAAGTGGACAGCTCCAGTGGCTTCCCCATATCGGAAAGGAAGAGCGTTCCAGACGGCCGCAGCGTCTGAAAAGCACGCGATTGCAGTGACTCGTCTTCGTTCGATGCGGGTAGAGCCGTTTGTTGCCGGGCTGTACCTGTACTCACCTCTCTCCCGATATTATATATATGTGTGTGTGAGTGCGTGTGTATAAATGTTGTTGCGTGGCGCGTCCGCGTGTCACAGGGCATGATCACGCTGGTGCTCGAGTGCATCGACCGCCTGAACCTCTACAACAGCGCGGCACACTTTGCCGAGACGGCGGGCGAGGAGGCGGGAGATTCGTGGAAGGAAATCCTCAACTCCCTGTACGAGCTGCTCGGTAAGCCGCGGGGCGTCTCGGACTTGTGTAAGAAAGTCACGAATGAAGTAAGCATATTAATCTTGATTTGAAGCTTTCGTGACTGCAGGAATCCATACTCTTTGGTTCTTTCGGTATGTCACGTAGGTAGAAGAAAAATAGATCACGACGTTTCGATTGCAACACAAGCAATCGTCATCAGGTGGGACAACCACAGCAAGAAAAAAAAAACACTTCAGCAGTTTTTTCAATCTAGATTTGAAGATACATCCCTCCAGTATCAGAGGGAAGAGCGTTCCAGACGGCCGTCTTTGTACGATGGCGATCCAAAAGCCGCCGCTGGCGAGGATGGACCAGAGTTTGCGTGATGGCGAGACAAGGTTTTAGCTCGGCATGGCAAATGATCGGCGGAAAATTGACCCCTGTGCTGAGAGGGTTCTGCGCTGGCTTGGCTCGGATTTGCCAGTGGAAAAAATGGTCCAGGGGCAGCTTAACATGAGGACGTGACTCTGGCCACTCCCTCTGCAGCAAGCCCCATCCCAATTCCTGGTTAGCTCCGCCCCCCCGAACACCCCCCCCACCCCACTTCATGATTCTACGAAGCAATCGTAGTTTCTACAAATCACTGAGCGGACAGATCGCATGACGGTCGAGTCCGTCTCTGTCGCAAGCAACCGATTGCGCAACCAGCCGCGTGCGCAGACATCTGCACGCATTTAACACGTGGCAGGCTTTTCGCGACCAATATCGTTCGTAGTAAAGTTTTTTTGGGTTAGATCGCGCAAGCGTAAATGTTGTGCCGTAATCCCTCCACAGCCCGACACAGCCAGCAAGGTTTGCCACGTAAACAACTCGCCAACCGGTTACTACTTCAGCCCACTCACGCACCGGCTGCGCGCGTGAAGCGCGCGGCCCGGGCTTGCATGCGAGCGACCTCTCGGGTATCGACCCTGGCTCGAGATACCTTTTTTGATCGCCTCCATTTAGCGGTGGAAACGGGATCCACGCGGAGATGGCTTTAGTGGTGGCTCACTCAGCCTCGGCCGGGCCGTCGGGGGAGAAGGGCGCACCATTAACCAGGCGCGCATCGCCCACCCACCCCACACCACGACCACCACCACACCACCACCCACCTCCCAGGGGGCCTCTAAATGTGGACGGGTCTCACGTTCTCCCGGCGACCCGAGCAGGTGCCCGTGGCATCGGGTTTCCTTGTGCGCGGCGCAGAGAGTCGGCTAAAACCAACGCCGCCTCCGCCACCGCCGTGGTTCACGTCCCAGGCGGCAGCGGTTGGCAGCGCCGGTGACGGGGAACGCGGTGGGAATGTTCCGGCAGGACGAGGGCACCCACCCCTCCATGCCGTGGCGGGCCAGGAGGGTTCTAATCGGATCTCTGACCGCGCTTCAGTCGCGCCGGTTGGCGGCTATCGGTGAGGGTGGGAAGTGTGGGACGTGCGGCATAGTCGCGGAGCCACACGGTGGATTTTCTTGCTGCCCTAACACCTCCGCTGGCCCACCTTTCGTAGTCTTGGGGTTGTGGCATGCCTACAACACCTGTGGCATGCACAGGTGGTCCCTTGGCCAAGCATTGTCCAGGCAAAAGAGGGCGGACGAGCTCAGAGAGCATCGCGGGTGATATCGTCACCGCGTATCATCGTCGTCACCAGTCTAGAATTCGCCCACCATTGCAATAATAATAATAAAAGTACTTTTATTTTATATAGCGTCACATGTAGCGAATTGAAACTCAAAGCTCTGTACGTCGCAAAGAGCATCAACGATGGTGCGAGACACAACGTAGAGACACAACAGGAACACTCTACAGGGTGCTTAAAATGTATTCCTTAACGCTTCTAAGAATAGCACAATAAATGTGCTTTCTCCGGGCCCTGGAGACGACCTGGAGAAGATTCCAGGCAATGCGTTGGCAATGATGGCGAACAAGTGGAGACTCTGACTTTTTGAAGCGATTAACATACATTTGTTATTATGTTACAGTATTTATCCGTTCTTTTACTATTAAAAACGATAGTCCCATATAAGTGTTAAAATGTTTTGAAGCAACCTGTACAGATGGTGTACGGAGGCAAACGCGACACCAACCAGGCTGAGTGACAGCCAAACATCGGCAGAACTCCAGGGAACAATTACAACAACAACAACGACGACTACGATAGTTTGATTCCACAAAGGGTCATCCATGCAAACGGCAACCCTCACAATTAGGGAACAGCTGTGATGTATCCTCATAGTCAGGGAACGGTGCAGGCCATTCGGGCTCGCAGCCCCTTACCTGATTGGGGTAACGGTCGGCTACAGAGGGGGGAAGTGAAAATTGGGAACACGGTGAGGGAGATGGGGGGGGGGGGGGGTTATTATTGTTCTCAACAGTCAGGCATTTGAACTTTGGTGTGACCAGAAACTGGAGGCTAGCTGAGCGAAGGAGTCCCGAGATGGGCGTCTAGACCTGGGTAGGCACAGAGCCCGCCGGGGGCCTCGGGATGGAGTGGACGACTGTGAGTGCCGATCGGTCTCCAACCCGACCCACCAAGGTGGCGAGATGTTAACTACCTCGCCTGGTATGCAGGAGGTCGTGGGTTTGATCCGGACCCTGACGCCTGCTGGATATTTGGAGTTTGCATGGTGGCGAGATGTTAACTATCTTGCCTGGTACGCAGGAGGTCGTGGGTTTGATCCGGACCCTGACGCCTGCTGTATATTTGGAGTTTGCATGTTTTCCTCCGTGGTCGTGTGGAATTTTCTCCGGTTTTGAGAATCAACATCATGCGTTTAGTGTAATTTGGGCTGCTATAAATTTCGACTTCGTTGAGCGATCATTTGCGGCCACGTCGTTTGTGAAAACTAGCTATACAGCTCAGTGTGGCTTTACCTGGTAAAATTAAAGTTTAGACCCACGATCAGCACGATTTTGACGCCAGTTTCAAGATACGCGCACGAATTAGCGTTTGTAAAGCTGAGTTTAGGAAGGGTGGTGGTGGGGCGGGGGGTTACGTTGGTGGTATGTTCCACCTCACCTGCCCACTCACGCGAGTAACGGGGCCCATCGTGAGACGTTTTCCATCTTCTCTGCCCTTTCAAATATTAATTTATCGAGTTGAAATCCATCACCATTTTTCCGCCCGCACCCCCCCCTCCCCACTTCGTGTTCCCACAGCTGCCCTCATCCGGGGCAACCACGGCACCTGCGCGCAGTTCTCCAACTCCCTCGACTGGCTCATCAGCAAGCTGGACCGGCTGGAGGCATCTTCCGGTGAGGGGGGCCTCACCCGCTGGCCCCGACGCCCGCGTTTCCGTCCGTCCGCTCTTGCCGCGTCGGCGGCCCCAGCACGCCGCTTTTACCGACCGCGGTAACCGAGGGGCACCGTTAAGATGCCGAGCGGCCACCGATAAGGGGAGCGCCACTGAAGGGCCGAGCTTTAAACAGAGCTGGTGCGTTTGATGAGCACGTTCACGTGAATCGAGCGACGGATGTGAGAGACATTGAGCGAGCGAGGCCCTGCAACCTCGCTCCGCTCAACAGACGTGTCCGCTCCTCGTATCCGTGCCGTTTGTTGCTGGCCACTGGGCGTTGTGGGATTTTGCTCGGAGCATGTTCTCACAATGACGCCGTGGCAGCGTGTGACGTCATCGCATTGGTCGCCAAGGGCAATCAATCCTTTTAGCTCCGGGTTGTTTGTTCTACCAATCCCTTCCAACTAAGTCGCTAATTAGCAACGCGACCTTACACTCAAGTTGAACTCGCGCTGCGTCGTCTCGACGAGAGTTATCGTGGCCCCCACGTTACGGGCGGACTGACGGATGGCCTGCATTCGAACGCAGTATCTCGGCGGAATAACCTCCGAGCCACCTGGCCACTTCCTTCGTGAACTGTGGGTTTATAATTGTTGGGGCTGGTTGCCCTCTAGTGTCGTGGTTAGCGCCACGCTGCGCTACGAGCCCGGCGAGCCGAATTCGATTCCCGCTCACGGCCAACACCGGTGACGATTATCTGAACCGGTCATGGGCCTCCCCGAGGTCGACTCAGCCGCAAATACGTACCTGGTGTGGTGTGTAAACATCGCCACTAGGGCAACAAAAGCGGCCGGGCATGGTGCTGGCCACCCAAACCCTAGTATGATGTGTCGGCCTTCATAGGTGCTCGCTAATAGCACTTGCCCAACAGTCTGTTAAAGGCTACACGGGGGAATCTTTGTCTTTGAGTGGGTAGGGCGATCTTGGGTGGGGTGATTTAACATCTGTTGATTCGGGGAGAGGGTAGGGATTCGGGGTGAACGGTAGGTCCTGATGCTTGTCATACTACTTCCTCGTACACCATGCCGGCCTACGCAGGTGCTCGCTTAAAATCGTTTGGCCAAACCTTCCGTTGAAGGCTGTCCGGGCGGGGGCGGGATCGTCGTTGTCTGTGTGCAGGTATCCTGGAGGTGCTGCACTGTGTCTTGCTGGAGAGCCCCGAGGCTCTGAACATCATCAAGGAGGGACACATCCGTTCCATCATCTCCCTGCTGGACAAGCACGGACGCAACCACAAGGTGTGCACCTCCGCACCGGCGGTTTCCCTCCACACCAGCGGGGCCCTCAGTGGCAAACAGTTGGGGGGGGGGGGCAGGATGGAGCCGAGATATGTTAAGCTGAGACAGAGATGTAGTGAGATGAGAGAGGATGTGGACAACAGACATGAGATGGAGAAGAGGTGAGAGTTACGGGAGATGCAGAAGAGAGAAGGGGAGAGATGGAGTGAGATGAGAGAGGATGTGGACAACAGACAGGAGATGTAGCGAGATGAGAGCGAAGGGTAGATGCAGAAGAGAGAGGGAGAGATTCGGTGAGATGAGAAAGATGTAATCAACAGATGGAGATGTAGCGAGGGGAAGGACTGCAAACTAAACACAAAAAAACAGTTCTAAAGAAATGAGTTTTCAATCTAGATGATGATTTAAAAGCTCATAGCTCCGATGGCTTCCTAACATCGGAAAGAAGAGCGTTCCAGACGGCCGCAGGAGCACACCTGAAAGTTATGAGCCAAAAGCGAGCATCAGCGGAGTTCGCGTGATGATGGTTTAGCAAAGGTATCGCGGTTCATTCGCGATGAGTGCGACCTTCCGAAAACACGCGACTGGAAGTCGAGTAGTTGCCTTGACGACGAGCAAATATCGCCGGCTGGTTGACCACGGCGTTTTGCGTGGCGCGCAGATTCTGGACGTGCTCTACTCGCTGTGCGTGTGCAACGGCGTCGCCGTGAGAGCAAATCAGAACCTCATCTGCGACAACCTGCTCCCCGGCAGAGACCTGCTGCTGCAGACGCGGCTCGTCAACGACGTCACCAGGTGTCACTCGCAATCGCTCTCGAGTTGCTTCGTTCACTCACCCATGAACTCATTCGCTCGCTCAGCAAACTCATTTATATTCGCTCCTGCACCCACTCTTTCACTCGCTCACCCACTTCGTGCATTCACTTACTCACCCAGTCATTCATTCACTCACTCACTCACTCATGAATTCACTCGCACATTAATTAGCTCATTCATCAATGCACTCACCCACATGCATTTATTCACTGACTGACAACATGTATTCCCTTGCTCCAGGGCCTATGCCAACCACGCTATGCAACTGTAAAAAGATCTACACATCCCATCAGCGGTTTTTTTCCCTTCTCAACACAAGCAAACTCTGCACCGGTTCCGACATTCAGTGCCTCATCAGCACAGTCAGGCTTGCTTGAACCTAATTATTTTGTATTTTTTACGTGGTGGGACAAATATGGGAATGAGCGCGAATTCTCGGCTCATTGATCTGCTACTCGTGCTGTCCGCAACGACGCTCAGGATTGATTAGATTCGACTTTTGATGACCAACTTTCATTGAAGAGCCGAACGACCACGAGCACCACTTAACTGTCCCACACTCCCCCCTTAACCCCCTCCCCCACCGGGGCTCAGCATGCGCCCCAACATCTACCTGGGCATCTGCGAGGGCACGTCGCAGTACAAGAAGTGGTACTACGAGATGGTGGTGGACTACGTGGAGCCGTTCGTCACCAACGAGCCGACGCACCTGCGCGTCGGCTGGGCCACGACGGAGGGCTATGCTCCGTACCCTGGTGGCGGCGAGGGCTGGGGCGGCAACGGCGTGGGCGACGACCTCTACTCGTACGCCTTCGACGGCCTCCACCTGTGGTCCGGTGAGCCGTGCACGACGGGGCGTTAAAGCCGCTGGGAATCGGGCGGCGGGCCGCCGTCGGCTCTCCGCGAATAAAAACCGCGGCGGTCTCTGCGATCCGCTGGGGTGTTCGCGATTACCACGGCGGTCTCCATGATTCCGCTGGGGTGTTCGCAATTCTGCTGGGGTCTCCGTGACTCCCACGGCGGTCTCTGCGATCCGCTGGGGTCTCTGCGATTCTGCTGGGGTCTCTCTCCCCTTTGGTCGCGAGGATTTTTCTCTGGGCCCCTCCGATTTTCCCCTCCACATTTAGAATCGACGTGTGGTTAGCGTATTCGGCTGCTATACATTTCTAGACGATCATGACCCACTTCGTTGGGCTATCGTTTGTGATCGCCAGGCCGCTTCTGAGCTACGTAGCTCAGTGGGCCCTTGCCTAGTAAAAAACTATAATTATTTTAGTATGGGTCTCGCTGAGTATGGGACTCTGTGGGTCTCTGGATCTCCATGGGTCTCTGTGAGTCTCTATGAGTCTGTAGAAATGTGCATTTAGAATATCTGGTTGCTATAGATTTCACACGATCATAAGCCACTTTGTTGGACTATCGTTTGTGATAGCCAGGCCGCTTCTGAAAAAAAAGAGTTACACAAGCTTCAGTGGGAGGACCCTTATCTGGTCAAATAAAATAAAATAGTTTAGAGTCACGACGGCCTTCCGCGCTTCCACAGGTCGCATCGCCAAGCCCGTGGGCTCGCCGGGCCAGCACCTGCTGAGCGCGGATGACGTGGTGAGCTGCTGCCTGGACCTCAGCATCCCCAGCATCTCGTTCCGTATCAACGGGCACCCTGTGCAGGGCATGTTCGAGAACTACAACACGGACGGGCTCTTCTTCCCCGTCGTCAGCTTCTCCGCTGGCATCAAGTGAGCGGTTTTTGTTTGCGCATTGGTTTTTCTTTTTTTTTGGCACGTTGGGGTTTTGGCGCATTGGGGTTTTGGCTCGTTAGGGGGTTGGCACGTTGGGATTTTGGCGCATTGGAGTTTGTTTGGCGCGTTGGGGTTTTTGCACGGTCGGGTTTTTTCTACGCCTTCCGTTCGATGATGTCGCGCCGTCGATTCGGCTGCCGAAATTTTTGGGTTGCAGCTTAGCGGTTTTTAAGTGTTTGTCTACGCCGGGTGGTGGAGGGCCTTACAACACAAACTTTGGCCGAACCCCTCAAATATTTTGCGTTTAACTGCATGTGCTCGCGCACAGTCATTTTTACAATCCATGATGATGACGACGATGATGACGATGATGATATGTTGACGATGACTGTGATGATGACTTTGACGATGACTGCGATGAGATGGTGAAGATGAACATTGCCTCTCCACGCGCGCGCACACACTCACACGCGTGTCCCCCCCCAACTCCCCCCTTGCAGGGTGAGGTTCCTCCTGGGTGGCCGTCACGGCGACTTCCGCTTCCTGCCGCCGCTGGGCTACGCTCCCTGCTTCGAGGCGCTGCTGCCGCGGGAGCGCATGCGCGTGGAGCCCATCAAGGAGTACAAGCACGACCACGACGGCGTGCGCGACCTGCTGGGGCCCACCTTCTCGCTCAAGCAGGACGCCTTCACGCCCGTGCCCGTCGACACCACGCAGGTTGGAAGGCCCTCTTCTCCAGCGTTCCCGCTGCCCGGCTCTCTGACTCTCCGGCTTTCTGGGTCTCCAGTTCTCCGATTTTCTGGTTCTCTCACTCTGTCTTTTCTGCTCTTCAATCTCGTGCTCTCAGGCTCTCTGGCTCCCCTGCTCTCCTATTATCTGGCTCTCTGTCTCTCCCACTCTCTGGCTCTCCCACTCTCTGGCTCTCCCACTCTCTGTCTCTCCCACTCTCTGTCTCTCCCACTTTCTGGCTCTCCTCCGGACGTCCTCTGGCTCTCCGGCCATCGGCGTGAGTGTAAATACGAGCGACGTGTGAATCAGAGAAGGGAGACTCACGCTGCGTGCAGTGAGTCCCCGCGACTCAACCCTGGATGGTTTCTACCGGAGATGTGAATCTTCCTTTGGAAACCCTCAGTTTATTTCTCGAGCAGAATTGGCCAAGTGAAGGCTCACTGGCAGGAGGTCACGGGACAGATCCAGGTACTGTGGGTTGACTGACTGAGATCGCTGGCAGATGCACCAGCCGTACTTCCCCACACTCATACAAAGACATCCCCGTATGGCCTTAACAGGCTGTTGGGGCAAGTGCTGTTAGCAAGCACCTATGAAGGCCAGCACGGCACACGAGGGGGTGGGTGGCCAACACCACGCCCGGCCGCCTTTGTCTTTCCAGTGGTGATGTTAACACACCACACCAGGTACTCAATTGAGGCTGAGTCGACCTAGGGGAGGACCGGTTCAAATAATCGCCACAGGGTGTTGGCCGTGAGCGGGAATCGAACCCGGGTCACCAGGTTCGTAGCGCAACGCGTTAACCGTTACACTACCACTCACACACACACACGTTCACACAAACACGCGCACACACACAAGCGCACGCACAAACGTCGTTGTCGTCATTGTCGTTGTTTGAAGATTGTGCTTCCCCCAAACCTGGAGCGCATCCGAGACAAGCTGGCGGAGAACATCCATGAGCTGTGGGCTACGACCAAGATCGAGATCGGGTGGACCTACGCAACTGTGAGCCGAGCAGCACACCCGATCAATCACGGACATCATCAGCATTCAAATTTAAATGTGTAATTCTAGGACATTCGCGTTCCATAATTGTTATGCAAATTGCATGGCTCAAAGTAACTTGTAATTTGTATGAAGATGACACGAGACATTGGCCATTTGTATATGATCACTTTTTTCCCGTCAATAATTTGATTATATTTTGCCCATCTCTGCGTCCATACGAGGGGGTGGGTGGGTGGCTGGCACCACACCCGGCCGCCTTTTTTTTTTATCTCTGTACCGCACCTCCGACTGGCACGGTTGGCTACGTACGGTGCGAACGAATTTTAAACGTACATGCGTGCAGTGGCGATGTTTGCACATTGCACCAGGTATTCAGTTGAGGCTGAGTCGACCTAGGGGAGGGCCCGGACATGTTCAGATAACAGTCACTGGTGTTGGCCGTGAGTGTGAATTGAACTCAGGTGGCCGGGTTCGTAGCGCTCCCCTTCTATACACGCACATATGCACATATCATACCAGAGGATACTTAGTGACTTTCTACTGAGTTGACTGCTGTCTTCAAGATGAATCCTTGGTTTCTGGAGTTGAGAAGGAGAGTGTGTGGCGAGGGACAGTTAGGAGAGTGTGGAGCGGAGCAGAGGGAGATGAGAGGAGAGAGATAAGAGAGTGCGTGGAGGAGAGCAGAGGGAGGTGAGAGGGGATAGATAGGAGAGTGGGTGGAGGGGAACAGAGGGAGATGAGTGGGGAGAGGTAGGCAGGGGACGAGTCGACAGAGGACCACGAAGCTGGTGCGTGGCTATCTTCACAATCGATTGGATCGGGAGCTTGCGGGAGGGATGCGGAATCGTGGGGGCAACGCGGCCCATGTCCACCGGTGGCGGGTGATGGTGGGAGTCCTCCCCGCTCCGTCGTGGTCGTTGCCATCGTCCGGAGTGCGGGCGGCGAGGAGTTTGCGGGAAACGTCAGCCGCCGCCATCGTCTATCTCCCGCCTCGAGCCGCCCGTTTCTGTCTGGCGCGCAGGCCAGGGACGATAACCGGCGCCTGCACCCGTGCCTCGTCGATTTCCACAAGCTGCCCGAGCCGGAGCGCAACTACAACCTGCAGATGTCCACCGAGACCCTCAAGTGAGGCCCGACACCGCGGGTCTGGAGTTGACGCACCTTCGTTTCTTCACGTGCTGATTTTTTTTTGTGCGTGTTTTAGTTTGTTGTCCTTCGCCCGCACACCTTCGATTGGCACGGTCGGCTACGTACGGCGCGAAAGAAATTCAACGTGCATAGGAAGGCGTTGCATTGTACAGCTGAGATGCTTTGAGAGGGAGGAAAGGCCGACTGAGCTGTATAGCTCTTTTTTGAGAAGGGACCTGGACACAAGTGATAGCTCAGCAAAGTGGCTTATCACCACGTGGAAATGTAGAGCAGGCAAATACTCTGATAGCGTGATGTTGATCCTATAACGTGGAGGGAAAACATCTCCTAGCTACCGTGATGATGATGAGAGAGAGAGAGACGCCGCACACTCCAAATATATAGCAGGCGACAGGGTCGGGATCGAACCCACGACCTCTTGTATACCAGGCGAGGTAGTTAACATCTCTTAGCCACCGTGATGATGATGAGAGACACGCAAACTCCAAATATACAGCAGGTGTCAGGGTCGGGATCGAACCCACGACCTCCTGTATACCAGGCGAGGTAGTTAACATCTCCTAGCCACCGTCATGATGATGAGAGAGAAAGAGAGACGCCGCACACTCCAAATATACAGCAGGCGACAGGGTCGGGATCGAACCCACGCCTCCCGCGTACCAGGCGAGGCAGTCAACATCTCGCCAGCACGCCGTGACGCATGTGGCCGCTGTGCCCGGTGCCCCCCGCAGGACTCTGCTGGCGCTGGGGTGCCACGTGGGCATGGGGGACGAGCAAGCCGAGTCGAAGCTCAAGCGCCTGCGGCTGCCCCGCAAGTAACCGCCGCACCGTCGAGAGCCGTCGGACGCCCGCGCCGCCCTCCTTGCCGCTCCCAGTGTTTTTTGTCTTTTCTTTCTTTGTTATATGCGGTGTATATTTGTGCGTGATGTATAAATAGGGTGATGTGTATGCGGCTGCGTCGCACAGCGACCTCCGATTGGCACGGTTGTTGGACCGTACGTGCACACATACGCGCGTGTGCACGTCGCTGCCCAATCCGCCAACGCGCGCGTGTGCATGCAGAATGGGGATGTTTTCCGCCAGCTAATGGGTGTCTGTGAGACGAGTGGGCGGAAACCGGAGCACCACGGAGAAAACTCGCTCGTTATATGCACACATATACATGATCCATCTTCTTGGTTCTTTCGGTAAAGTCACGTATAAAGTTTTACCGAAAGGACCAAGAAGATGAATCCCTGCAGTCACAAAAGCTTTAAATCGAAAAATAAGATGATCCAATCGCAGCTATTGGGATATACATTGTCCCGGCCATTGAGAAATCGATTGATCCAACTTTTGAGACATCCATTATTTTGTATGTTTGTCTAATCGATGTTCCAGCTGCTTGTTTCTAAAGTCATTGTCCCAGATAGTTGTGCGTCCATTGTGTAAGTCTCTGAGATACGTAGATAGGTTCAAATAAATTAACAAAAACTACGACGTTTCGATCGCAATGCAAGCGGTCGTCATCAGGTGGAACTAAATTTGAGACAGAGACAAAACACAGACACGGAGACACACAGACAGACACACAAGCACAGAGAGAGACAACACAGAGACACACAGAGAGAGACACACACAACATAGACGCACAGAGATCCAATGCCTCTGTGTCGAGGCCTTAAATAGAGAGAGAGGGGGAGGTGGGGCAGAAACGTCGTATTCTATTATTATTATTAAATGTATTTTCTTTCTACGTGACTTTACCGAAATAACCAAAGAGTGAATATTCACTTTACTTGATTGTTAGTATTATTTTTTCTATCTACGTGACTTTACCGAAATAACCATAGACTATGAATTCCTGCAGTCACGAAAGTTTTCAGTCAAAATTCAAACTATATATTGTTCTAGATACCTAACATTGCATTGCTCTGTATATTAAGACATCAATTCACGCGGCAATGACGTAGATACCCACCGTGATTCTGTTCGCTGGCATGCGTTGCCGTTGCCCCCCCCCACGTCCCGCGTAGCTACTCCATGGAGAGCGGCTACAAGCCGGCGCCCTTCGACCTCAACCACGTGAAGCTGACGGCCGGCCAGGAGGCCATGGTGGACAAGCTGGCGGAGAACGCCCACAATGTGTGGGCCCGCGACCGCATCCGCCAGGGCTGGACCTACGGCATCCAGCAGGTGAGAGCCCTCCCTCACTCACTCACTCCCTCACTCACTCCCTCACTCACTCACTCCCTCACTCACTCCCTCACTCACTCACTCCCTCTCCACCCTCCCTCTCCTCAATGCCCTCTCCTCCCTACCTCTCCTCCCTCACTCCCTCACTCCCTCACTCCCTCCCTCTCCTCAACTCCCTCTCCTCTCTACCTCTCCTCCCTCACTCCCTCTCCTCCCTCCCTCTCCTCAACTCCCCCCCTATCCTCCCTCCCTCTCCTCCCTCCCTCCCTCTCCTCCCTCCCTCTCCTCAACTCCCCCCCTATCCTCCCTCCCTCTCCTCAATGCCCTCTCCTCCCTACCTCTCCTCCCTCCCTCCCTCTCCTCCCTCTCCTCAACTCCCCCCCTATCCTCCCTCCCTCTCCTCAACTCCCCCCTATCCTCCCTCCATCTCCTCCCTCCCTCTCCTCCCTCTCCTCTCTCTCATCCCTCCCTCTCCTCAACTCCCTCCCTCTCCTCCCTCCCGCCTTCCTTTTTTTTTACAATCAGAAGAAACCAAACAAATGCTTGGTCATTAGGCACTTTGTTTCGTTCATCAAGTCGTGTTTTTGTTAACACGTTTTCCCATGTGTCATGAATCTCATTGTGTACTTTGTTCACAGACACAAACAAAAAAAAAGCCTCCCCCCGCTCCCCTGCATGATAAATAATTGTGAGTTTGGCTGTCGCTTAGGGGGCAGCAGTGAAACGGAGAGACGCCTCTCACGATTCACCACCCCAAGGGCGCCCGCGCGCTTCCACGCTTTGACGCGGATTTATAGATGCGTCGTTGGCAGGGCGGGAAGCGTCGCTGGAAGGGATGATGAAGGGACGACGGCCGATGGTCGAGACTAGCAACGGAGTGGCAACCAAAGGAGGGAACGCCCCCCAGAGGCTGTGTTGTACGAGCTGACTTAGTGCTGCTTGGAAGCAAGTCATCAAATAATACATCGTCTAAATGCATGCCGCTGCAGGTCACCATACTTCAGTAGGGATTACCGTTGGTTATTTTAGTACACACAATCGACAGGAGGTACAAGAGCAATGGGCTTGCATAATGTGCATGCGTAATGCGCGTTGATTACCATTTAAATAACCCAACCGGCAATGGATACCCATTGTAATTTATATAAATCATTAATCCTCCCACCCCACATCGCTGAAGAAGTGCTCACAAGTGATGTCATCACAAATCTGGTTGTTGCCTCATGAAACGAGTTGTAATTACTGGCGAAAAGTCGTACTCAGATTGTAAATGTTGTGGCTTTGCTCTCCAACACACCGGTGTGCTGTACTAGTGACGAATTGGCCACGTTCTGTTTACGGGAATAAACCTTACTAGTTGGCTGTGTCGGGTGGTGGTGGGTTTAATATTCACGCAATCTAACCCAAAGACCTGTATTATGTACGAACTGGATGTTTATATACTCGCCCATTCCGTGCTCGCTGTGCGCGTGTCACTTGATTCCCCGTGGACACCTTTGCAAAACGAGACGTTCCAGCTTCAGCGAATAACCACGTAAAATATTTTAACCCCCCCAAAAAATCAAGTTTAAAGTAGGCGATCGCAACATTTAGCGCCTATCCGAGCGACTCGGTCGACACTAATCGTCCCGGCGCTGCTGCCTGACCCGCGGTGACCCCAACGCAGGACATCAAGAACAAGCGCAACCCGCGACTCATCCCGTACGCGCTGCTCGACGAGAGGACCAAGAAGTCGAACAAGGACAGCCTTCGCGAGGCCGTCCGCACGCTCATCGGCTGCGGCTACGTCATCGAGCCGCCCGACCAGGATCCCGGTCAGTGCCGCCTGCTCAGAACATTGCAGTTATTTACAAAACCCAAGAGCGCCACGTTTCTTCCATCGAGCTGTCGCCAGTGCACTAATGTGATCATCTTCAGGAGTTGAGGCTTTGGCCACGCACTGCTGGCGGGCATCTTCAGGAGTTGAGGCTTTCACCACGCACTGCTGGCGAGCATCTTCAGGAGTTGAGGCTTTGACCACACACTACTAGCAGGCATCTTCAGAAGTTGAGGCTTTGACCACGCACTGCTGGCGGACATCTTCAGGAGTTGAGATTTTGGCCACGTACTGCTGGCGAGCATCTTCAGGAGTTGAGGCTTTGGCCAGGCACTGCTGGCGGGCATCTTCAGAAGTTGTAATTTTGGCCACGCACAACTGGAGTTGTTGTAGATCCCCGCAGTCGTGCCTGGTAACAGCGTGAGAGAAGAAATGCTCGACACGTTGATCGGATGGAATTTTTTTTCCGTCCGCGGTTACTGCAGCGCTGCTGGCCGAGACCGCCGGGAGCAGCCACCCTGACAAGATGCGGATCTTCCGGGCGGAGAAGTCCTATGCCGTGATGGCGGGGAAGTGGTACTTTGAGTTCGAGGCGGTGACGGCCGGGGACATGCGCGTGGGCTGGGCCCGGCCTGACGTGCCCTCGGGCCACGAGTTGGGGGCCGATGCGGAGGCCTTCGTTTTCGACGGCTTCAGGGTAAATACTTTGTTGTCACAATAGGTTTTGCCCTTTCTGGAAATAGAACAGGCGTTAAGATGTTTAAACACCCAACAGAATCCGTTTTCAAGGAATCATGTGTGCATTCACTGTTTTATTGGCAGAAGGGGTAAAACCAATTCTTATATTTTGATACTGGCAAAGGAGGTCCCATAATGTAGCTGCTCACCCCGAGCTATAAATGCCCCGATTGTCTTTGTGCTGTTCGCCTTTTGGCGTTTTCTGGTCGAACACTTTGAGACTAGGCTCTAAAGAAAGCTGTGCCTGGTGTGGACCAATCAGTTTCAAAGACAGTGCATATACTACCAGAGCATAGCAAATGCTTTGTTGTTATGGAATGTGGTTTCCATTCACAGTGGTTGTCCTGGTCAATGCTGTGTTTGTGTTATTAGCACTCGTTGTACACGTAAAGTGATTGCCACAAATGAACCACGGTGCCTTGCCGGTCATCATCGCAGCAGCGGCTTTTGGCTAACCGTCGAACAAAGACGGTCGCCGCATCGCGTGGCGCTTTCAGATGCGCTTCTGCGGCCGTCTGGAAGGCTCTTCCTTCTGATATTAGGAAACCACTGGAGCTATGCGCTTCTAAATCTAGATTAAAAACTAATTTCTTTAGAACTGCTCTTTGTGTTTAGTTTGTTGTCATTCCCCCGCACCTCCGATTAGCACGGTTGGCTACGTACGGTGCGAAAGAAGTTCAACATACATACATGAAACCCGTAAAAACACTACGCACCATTTGTTTCACTCGCGTTAAAATATCCCGTGATAAAATTGTGTGTCGGCGTCATGGTCCTAATCTGCAAAATATAAAAAAATAGCTCACAAATGACCCAATTTGGATATTATACACTCGCAAGGTTCCCGGCCGCTGTGGTTTCAAGACCTTCCCCTGTTCCTGCTTGCGCGCGGCATAGGCCCAGCGATGGCACCTGGGCAGCGAGCACTTTGGCAGAGACTGGCAGTGTGGAGATATCGTGGGCTGCCTCATCGACCTCAACGACCGGTGCATGATGTTCACCATCAACGGCGAGGTGCTCCTCAACGACTCGGGCTCCGAGCTCGCCTTCCGTGACTTCGAGATCTCCGAAGGCAAGGGATTGTCCCCCTCCCCACAACGCCCCGGGGGAAGGGGGGGGAGTGGCAGCCAAGTCGATGTTACGTCATTTTCAAATTTAATGCGATGGGAAGCGTTGAAGCATTAGTTTTGTCCGTCTGTCTGTACCAAAATCTTAATTTTTATTGGAACAATCCGATGAGCTATTAAGCTCTTTTATTTAGAGATGTCCAGTAGGGGTGGGTCAGTTCCTATGATCACTGTTACATTATTTTTATAGCTTTATTTTGGTGATTTAGAAAACGTTTTGGTTTAGCCATATTGAAGTACAGAGTTAGCATGATAACTTTAATCTAAATTGTCTTATGGTTGTTATTGTTTGACTTGCATCCCTCTGGGATTTTTGCACACAGCGTTGATATACTGTGTTTTTTCTGGAAGACTTTGCTGTTTTTTCCTGGATTTTTCTGTTGTGCGTAGTCACTTTAAGATGTTTCTTGTTCATGTTTTTGTTTGTCGCGGTTGCACCCGATTCAAGAGCCGCATGGCTCACAGGGCTATACCTAATAAAAAATAAAAAACACAATAGGAGTGCAAGGTATAGGAAAGGTTAGCAAATCACGGTAAATCCTGTAAAAATTATGATCCAATAAGAACGCAATGTCTCGACATAGTTGCGCTGTTCCTGGGAATTTAGCCAACAATACCGACCAAGTTGATAGGAGCATCTCCCCAAAAGCGAAGCCTATGCGATGACGTCATTGCGAGTAACGTCATCTGGCTACGTCACGCGTCGCACGCCGTGCGACATCGGCTCGTTGCGCAGGCTCCGAGAGTGACGTCGCATTCGCTGAATTAAATGCTTGCAATGTTGTGGAAAGAATAAAACTCTCCGTGCGTACATCGCACTTGAGAGAGCCCGGTTTAAAACATGAGCAGCGGTTGAAACCCGGTTTCAAACCCAGGATTTGTCAGCGGCGCCAGCTCAGCACCCTGACCTCTGAGCGACCCGGCCAGCACGCCTCGCCTTCTCAGTTCACCCCTTTTCCCCGTTCCGAGACGCCTGTGGGTGGGGTCACGTTCACTGCCCAATCTCGGAACCTTGCGAGCGGCTCAGCGTTCATTTTATTTAGAGAGGCGTAGTGGCGCCGTTGTTTTTAAAGACATCGCACTGCACTCGCCGCAGAGAACCGTAGCGACACGACCGCCGCGCTCTACGATAGCCGGCACCAAACTGTGCCGCGCGCCCTCCCGCGTGGCCTTGCGGGAGCCTCGGTAGCAACGAAAGTTACTCTTTGATGTACATCATCCTGAACGGAACTGTAAGAAAAGACGACGATGTACACGTACGTCGTCGTAACGGGAACGGGTAAACGCCCGCCGACCCTTCATGTGCTTGCGTGTGTGCTTGCGTGTGCGTGTGTGCTTGCGTGTGCGTGCGACAGGCTTCATACCCGTGTGCAGCGTGGGGATGAGCCAGGTGGGGAGGCTGAACTTCGGCCGCAACGCGGCGACGTTCAAGTTCTTCACCATCTGCGGCCTGCAGGAGGGCTTCGAGCCGTTCGCCGTCAACATGCACCGCGACGTGCCCATGTGGTACACCAAGCGGCTGCCGCAGTTCCTGCCAGTGCAAGGCGACCACGAGCACTACGAGGTGCGGCCGGCTGGCAACGGTGCCCTGGGAGATGCCGAGGGTTTTTTTTTACTAAACTTAAGGTGTCAGTTTTGTTGACAGATAAAAGGGTAAAAAATCCAATTATCATATTTTTCTACTGGCAAATGAGGTTCCCCGAGCTCTCATACTCTGATGGTGCATTGTCTTTGAGTTGTGCGCCTTTTGGCGTCATCTGGTCCAACACCATGTGAGACTAGGCTCTAAGGAAAGCTGTCTCGGGTGTGGACCAATCAACTTCAAGGACAGCGCATACATTATCAGGGTTATGTTTTTTGTTTGCATTCCGACTGCAGGTATTGTGGTCTATGCAAACATGACTCCTTGTAAAAAAGGTGTCAGTTTTGTTTCCAGATAAAAGGATAAAAAAACAATTATCATAAAGTAAACTGTTTTAACTTTAACAGCTTGAAGGGCCCACTGGGCTATGCAGCTCTTTTTGCAAAAGCGGCGTGGCCACAAATGATAGCTCGAAGTGGCTTATCGCGTGGAATTTACAGCAGCCAAAATCTCTGAAAGCGTGATGTTGATTCTAAGGAAAAACAACCGTAGGATCCGGAGAAAAATTCACACGACCACGGAGAGAGAGACACACAAACTCCAAATATACAGCAGGCATCAGGGTCGGGATCAAACCCACGAACTCCTGTATACCAGGCGAGGCAGTTAAAATTTCGCCACCATTTTACTCCCTTGTACGATAAATAACGATTATAATAATGACGACGACGCTGACGATGATCATGATAGTCACGCCGTTTACTGGGAATGTGATAACGCACCCATCCGTGGATTTATGGTTGATTGGTATGCTTACAAATGACGTGCGCGAGAATCGATTATCTTTTATTTCATCGTCGTTGTGGTCGTCATCAGTCGTGGTCAATCCACTGCTGGATGAAGGCCTCTCTAAGTCTCCGGCACCTTTCGCGATCCCACGATGCAACGGTCCACCCAGCTCCTGCCTGCACGTCAACTCATTTCATCGCTCGGTCTCCTTGGTGGCTGTCCTCTCTGCCACCGTTTTTTCGTTTGGATCTGGAGTGCCTTTGCCGGCGGTCATCTGGCATGCTATTTGCGCGGTGATTTGATACCATCTTCAGTGGAGCTAATATTACATTTAAAATAAATACGGTTCACATTAGTGTACCGTATCGAAGAGAAAAAATAGAAACGCAATATTATTTATTTATTTCCATCCCTTTGTCCAGTGATCCACCGACGCTTGCCTCCACGGCATGGTCCAGTTAAATTCCACCACCTCGTGTCCCATCTGTCCTCTCAGCTCCAGATCCTCTTGTGGCCTTGTCTCAGCAGTCCCACCTCCTGGTCTGCATTACACCTCCCTCCCCTCATTCCACCGCCCCCCCCCCCCGCATCCACCGTCGACGGGGTGAGCTGGTCCGTTTACGTCAGGGGTGGGGAACGTCCGGCCCGCGGGCCGTATAAGGCCCGCAAAATCATTTAGTCTGGCCCTGCCAAGGCAACGGCACGACTCAAAATTCAATAAATCTAGGCGCTTTTTTCATAGCAACATAAATTAAATTTTGTATGGCCCACGAATATATGTTATAAATATCCAAATGGCCCTTGGCATTTTTCCCTACCCCTGGTTTACGTCCTCGCATGAGGCCCATTGAGCTCAGAATCTCTTTCTCATCATGGCGACCCGGCCAAAGCAGCCGATGTGGTAGCAAGCATCCCGTTAAACATGCAACGTCGGGGGCCAACGTTGGCCACGTGGTTGGAAACGTCGGGTCAACGTCGACCCAACGTTTCGCTTTTACGGGCTTCCTAGATGGGAAGGGAGAGTTCGCGGGGGTCGCCTTGGCCAGCTGGGATACGGCGCGTCCACGCAAGGCCCGCTGCGAAAGTGACCGAGACGCGTCGTTCCCCTCGCGTCTCCGCATCCGCCACCGCCCCCCAGGTGACGCGGATCGACGGGACGGTGGACAGCCCGCCGTGCCTCAAGGTCACCCACAGGACGTTCGGCACGCAGAACAGCAACAACGACCTGGTGTTCTTCCGCCTCAGCATGCCCGTGGAGTGCTACGAGGACTACAAGCCGCAGCTTGCCGGCCACCTCAACTCGCTCATGCAGGAGGAGGAGGTGGACATCGACATCGATTCCGAGTTCGAGGTGCTCAAGAAGACGGCTGCGCGTGGGAACCTGATCCAGCTGCCGTTCGGCTTTGCGTCGCCGCCGGGAGACAAGGACGCGGCGGCGGCGGCGGCTGCGGCGGCTGCCGCGTTGACCGGCGGGACTGCTTCTCCGCCGGTGGGGGCGGGAGGGGCTGGAGGAACGTCGGTGACGGGGTCGTCGCTCGCGCCGCCTACGCCGACCCCGACGGCCGAGTCGAGCGGTGGCAGCAGCAACAACAAGGACGCGGCGCAGGAGAAGACGTCGCGCCTCAAGCCTAAGTGCGTCGCCGAATTAGCGCAATTCCTATAATCACCACAATCGATGTAACAATCACACTACTGCTGCGGCAAATTCTCGCTGTGCGCGAGTTCTGGATTTGGCGAGTTTAGCATATTTGCGACCGAACCACGGCGTCGCGTTAGGTGGTCGACAGAAAGAGGCAAGGCGCGTGGGGTCGGTGGTAGCGAGGATTCCTCGATGATCGATCACGACCGGCGGCGGATCCGCTGACCTCCTCGGTTTGCCTGCCCCCTCCCCCCCCAACTGCCCCCCCCTCCCCATTCCCCCTTCGGCGTTTTAGGTTCCTCATGCGCCGGGGGAAAGTGTCTCAGGCGCAGGCGCCCGCGGCGCCGCCCATGCCCGTGCACACGCGGCTGCAGGAGGAAGTGCTGCCCGACGACCGCGACGACATGGAGACGCTCATGAGGACCACGCTGGTGCGTGACCTCTCGACCCCCGGTCGCCGCCCCCTGCCTAGGGACGCCACGGCGTCGAGGTGTTAACCAGCTCACCTGTTCCAAAGGAGGTCGTGGGTTCCGTTCTGACCCTGAAACCTGTTTTGGCTGCTCTAAATTTCATTGAGCTACCATTTGCGGCCAGGTCACTTCTGAAAGAGAGCTACATAGCTCAGTGGGCCTTACCTGGTAAAATATAAATATTGTCTAGTTTAGCCCGTGACTATGACATTTTAGCGTGTCGAGCAGTGGGAGCTCTGACAATGTCAAATCTCGGAAGCTTTTCACCGCGCGCTGCCGCGGGCATGTTCGGTAGTGCCTGGCGAAAGCTTGGGAGACGGATAACCTGGAAGGCCACACTCGGCCTGGGTGACTTGTGTTGTCCCAGTAGTGGGACCCTTACCCCGCTCCTAGAGAGTGATATCCCCGGGGTGGTGGCAGCCCCGTGTGTAACTGCTCTACAGTGGAACCTCCCCCATGTCCGTTCTCGCGAATGGCACTCACCCCAACAGTCTGTTAAAGCCATACTGGGGCTTTCTCTTTGTGTGGCTCGGCGAGCAGTACTACTACTCCGTGAAGATCTTCCCCGGCCAGGAGCCGACGGGCGTGTGGGTCGGCTGGGTGACGCCCGACTTCCACCAGTACGGGAAGACCTTCGACCTGGAGAAGGTGCGCAGCGTCATGGTGACGCTCGGTGACGACAAGGGCAAGGTGAACACCAGGTAGGGCCGCGCGCCGCGGGGCGACGGTGGGTTTCTCACGAGGCCCAGGAGCGTGGAGAGCCGCGCGTTTAAACAAACATTGCGCCGGCCAGAGCGGCGTGCCCCGGGGAGCTACGACCACGGGCCCGAGAGCGGCGGTCGTTCACCGCTTGTCCGCGGTTCGTGCCACGGGGCCTCCCCCTGTTAATGCTGCGGTCGTGTTAACCGTACAGCGGTGTTCCCCGTGGGCCACTGGCGGCCGGCAGCTCCCTGGTGGCCTTTAGTGCGGCCGCTGACGTGCGGGCCCCCCGACGAGACACAACATCTGAAAACACCCCCTATCATCATCGTCGTGCTGCTGTCAAACCCCCAGTGGTTTGAAATATGTGGCGGCCCTCACACACTGATGATGTCTTATCGGCGAAAGAGGCCACCCCCCCCTCTGAAAATTCGTGAAGAATGCTGGCGCACGATGAGGATCGTCTGCTTCACAGCGGACGTCAAAGTTTCACGCGACGTCGTTCGAACAAAGATAGGAGGTCGCGTGCGCAAGGGTCGTGGTCCGAAATGATAAAATTTGAAAAATTACGCCGCACGTTAATGAGGGAAACACAGAGCCATTGCCACCCTTCCCTCCCGCTGCCCCACTGAGGAAACCCAACAGGGACCGACCCTCCTTAAAAGGTGTCTTGAGGCTCGGCGATGCTTTCACCGTGAGCGCGTTTGTTACTCTTACAGAAAGCGAGGCAATCACGGACGCGCCGAGTGTCGCCACGTAGGCTGTTGCAGTTTTGGCAGGCGGTGGCTTTTGTGTGTCTCCCAATTGAGTATTTCCTGGGCAAACAACGAGCGTCGGACCGTGTCTGGCCATTGACGCCGTTCTCACAGTGTTCCATCGCTGCCCATCCTTTGCTAGAAGCAAATGGAATAATAATAATGTTTTTGTTACTTCCCTCCGCGTACCCACCCCCGACCTCTGACTTCATCAGCATCAAGCGCAGCAACTGCTTCATGGCGTGGTGCGGTGAGTTTGGGGGGCAGCAAGGCCAGGGGCGCAACAACATCAGCATCGACATCGGCTGCCTCATCGACATCGGCAGCGGACTCCTCACGTTCTACGCCAATGGAAAGGAGATCCCCACCTACTATCAGGTACGGGCGGTGCGCGTGCCCCCACCCAAGGAGATCCCCACCTACTGTAAGGTATGAGCGGTGCCCGCTCGCCTGCCCACCCCGTGTTCATGGGACACGCTCGCAGTCGCGGAGACGGGCGCGACAGATCTGAGAGGCGGGCACGCACCTTGCGGATGAGGATGCCCAGGCGGGTGGTCTTGGAGACCGGAGCCTGGTACGTGAGCCACAGGCCGCTGTCCACGTGCTGCACGAAGCACACCGAGTCCCCCGTACTTGATCTTCGGAGGCCCCCATCCCATCGATCTCGCTCTTGGGCCGAGTTAAGTCCGGCTAGATATTTTAGTCTTAATGGCGACATGAACGTGTGGAAAAGGACAGTGCAAAGCGTGTCGGACACAGTGGCGCCAGACAGTTGGCAGCCCTGGGTCTCGGCCTACCCCACTTATGCCTGGTGGGTTTCCTCCAGGCTCTCCGATTTCCTCCCGAAAGCCAAACACTCAGTCATGGACTTGGCCAAATATCCTGATGCCGCAGGATGCCTCTTGAGACCCGGCGAGGCTTTTCCCGTGTCAGTAACGGGCGTCGCTATCAGAGTCGGAATATATATGCCGCAGGAGGAATCCGATTAGCTATGTCCAGTAGGGGTGGGTAAGGACGTTACCCACAACAAACGTTACAAAAACACGACAGGAGTGCAAAGTGCTATAAAAGTAAACAAATCACCTAAACACATACAAATCAAATTAAACCATCCTTATTCTACCCGGCAAAGCCCACTGAGGAATTTGCTTAATTTTCAGAAGAGACCTGGCCACAAATGATAGCTCACCAAAGCGGAGGGAAAAACCGGAGGATCCGATGGAAAAAATCCACGCAACCACCGGGAGAACGTGCATACACTCTGACCTCGTCCTGCGGTCAATCGGTTCACCTTCTCTGATGTTTGTCGTTCCCTCCATCGCCGCCGCTGTCGTCATCGTCGTCGTCATTCTCGTCGTCATTATTGTCGTCATTATCGTCGTCATTGTCGTCGTTGTTGTCATTCTCGACTTCATTGTCGTCATCGTCGTCATTGTTGACGTCATTGTCGACGTCATTGTCATCGTCGTCGTCGTCATTGTCATCGTCGTCGTCATTGTCGTCATTGGCGACGTCATTGTCCACTTTATTGTCGAGGTCATTGTCGTCGTCGTCATTGTCATCGTCGTCGTCATTGTCGACGTTATTGTCGACGTCATTGTCGTCGTCATCGTCGTCGTCATTGTCGACGTTATTGTCGACGTCATTGTCGTCGTCATTGTCACCGTCGTCGTCATTGTCGTCATTGAGATTATTCTCGTCATCGTGCGCATGTCATTCGCAGATTGAGCCTGGCACCAAGGTCTTCCCGGCCGTGTTCGTGCAGCCCACGTGCACCAACATGTTCCAGTTTGAGTTGGGCCGCATCAAGGTAGGAGATGGGTTTTGTTTGGCAAATCGGTGAACTCATTACTAGGAATGCAACGTTGGCGAAATGTTGAGCAACGGTCCTCCTTCCTAGCATGTGTGTCAGAGAGACCAGAGAGATGGCGTGGCCTGTCGAATTATGTGCTATGAAATATGACCAGTGGACAAAACGTCACCGATTTTATATATATATACACATATATGGATTTATTTTAAGGCAGTGTCACTGACAAATGTCCAAAATGTGTGTTATTTATGCTTGGGCATCACTGCCAATGCGGTATCACGAACGTTTATTTTCATGAAATAACTTTTTGGAATAAGCTCAATACGCTGCCCAGTGCAGAGAAGCCTCACCGGGGTGACGTCTCTAACCTCTCCGTTTCTCTCCCCGGCTGCTCCTGCTGCTGCTCTTGCTGCTGCTTCTGCTCGTCCTGCTCCTGCTGCTACTGCTGCTACTGTTTCTGCTACTGCTGCTATTTCTGCTACTACAACTGCTGCTGCTACTTCTGCTCCTGCTGCTGTTGTTACTGCTCCTGCCACTACTGCTTGTCCTGCTGCTGCTACTGCTGCTACTACTACTGCTGCTACTTCTGCTCCTGCTGCTGTTGTTACTGCTCCTGCGACTACTGCTGCTCCTGCTGCTGCTATTCCTGCTATTTATTACTGCTGCAACCTCTGCTCCTGCTGCCACTGCTGCTGTTCCTGCTGCTGCTCTCTCTGCTGCCGCTGCCGCCGCTCCACCTCCGTCAACCGGTGCTTCCTCCCTGTTCCCTCTCCCTAATTGCCGCCCGTCAGAACGTGATGCCGCTGTCGGCCGGCATGTTCAAGAGCGAGCGCCAGCATCCGACGCCGCAGTGCCCGCCGCGGCTCGACGTGCAGATGCTCATGCCGGTGCTGTGGAGCCGCACGCCCAACGAGTTCCTGCACGTGGATGTGGCGCGCACGAGCGAGCGCGAGGGCTGGATGGTGGAGTGCACCGATCCGCTCGTCATGATGGCGCTGCACTTCCCCGAGGAGAACAGGTCGCGCGCCGCGGGGCTCCTCCTCTTCCCTCCTCCTCCTCTTTAGCACGGATTGATAACAGCAGAGCAAAGATGTCGTCGTGAGATGCTTTGCCCGCTCGTCAATTGTCTGTTGGGAAGCAGAGCGGATCTCGTACCCATTCCTCCTTTGACGGAGTGAAGGCAGACGCTGGGCGAGTCGTTTACAACGTGGGTCGGTTGGTTTGGGATCACGTGGCTGCGCACACTCGCAATGCCGCCGGATCTTCCACGGTGCCATTTGTGCATCAGGTGGCCCCATAGGATACATGGAGCGGTGCCGATTCGGGTTGATGGTCGGCCATTGGCGGCGTGGACGGTTGACGGGAGGATCGAGCCTCCCTTTTTATTTTAGTCAGCAGTGGGACGAAAAGAAGGGCAGGTGTTTGTGACCGGGGCCGGATTATCCCAATAGGCTAATAAGGCCTCAGGCTTTCATATTTTTTTGAGGCCCTCCTTTAGGCCCTCCGTTCCACATTGAATTCCTAGCGGAGCGACGGTAGCGCAGACCCTCAGTTTTTTTAATTACCGTGACGTAATTCGTGACTTTGCCACAGATAAACGTCGGAAAAAAGACGTGTTGTTTGCTTGAAGAAATTAGTGCAGTGGATGATTTACGTTCGATGTACTTGCCTTGAGGCAAATAAATGTGTTACTTTTACATAAGTAAAAAATATATAGACGTTTGATGACTTTATAATTTTTCTTTGTAATGTGTAATACATACTTAGGCAGCTTCCCTCCTATTATCCTTAGGCCCCTCATAGCCTTAATCCAGCCCTGGTAGTTGATGATTGAGACTAAATGGTCGGTTCGATAGGTTTGTCTCGTCGTTGGGAGTTGTGTGTCGGTTGGACAGGGGATTGCATTTTTACAGGGCCCTTAAAATGCCTCGACATTCAAAAGCACCTTGTCTTAAACAACTCAAGGAAGAGGAATCACGCGTGCTCAGTACTGTGATCTTTAAGGGAAACCTAAAACATTTATACCCACGCACACAAAAAATTATGAACTTACCTACCTTTTCATAATGTTGTTGATGTCTGCACTTAACAGCGTTCTCATTCACGGGTTCCTTCTCTCCCTCGATACGATCGTGTTAATTATTGTACGGCGTTTCGCGATTGCGGTCGTGACGGACGACGCCGCAGGGACACTATTAACACGTCTCGATGTTTGGCACCCCCCTCCACCCCGCTCCTCCCCCCTCCACCCACCCAACCGCGCAGGTGCATTGACATCCTGGAACTCTCCGAGCGCATGGACCTGCTCAAGTTCCAGTTCTACACCCTGAAGCTCTACTCGGCGCTGTGCGCCCTGGGCAACAGCCGCGTGTCGCACGCCCTCTGCAGCCACGTCGCCGAGAACCAGCTTCTCTACGCCATCGAGTCCAAGTACATTCCGGGCCTCCTGCGCAGCGGCTACTACGACCTGCTCATCGACATCCACCTGCAGACGTACTCGACGGTCCGCCTGATGATGAGCAACGAGTACATCGTGCCCATGACGGACGAGACGTGCAGCATCACCCTGTTCCCCGACGAGAGCAAGCGGCACGGGCTGCCGGGCGTTGGGCTCACCACGTCGCTCCGCCCGCTCATGTACTCGTCCGAGATCAGCTTTGTCAAGTCGCTGGGCAGCGTGTACCAGCACAGCCCCGAATTCCCGCTCGGCATCCTCAAGGTGAGGCTCTCATCCGGCCCTCCCCGACCGCCCCCTCCCGCAGGAAGGGCGTGCCCGGCGGTCGTGGTGGCGGTAGTGGCGGTAGTGGCGGTGGCCGTGGTGGTCGTGGCGGTGGTGGTGTTGATTGGTAGTAGCGGTGGTGGTGGTGGTGGCAGTGGTGTGTTTAGTATCCTCTCCTTACCCCGCACCTCCGATTAGTTCGGTTGACTACGTATGGTGCGAAATAAGTTCAACAAACACAACACACACACAATACACGCGCACACGCACGTGTACACACATGCACGAGTTGTAGGGCCCCCGCGCCTGGGCCTGGTTCTTCTCGACCTTTCTGTGTGGGACCAACTCACCGCCGCTGCTGTTGCCCCCCGCCGCCAACAACAGGTGAAGACGCTGGACATGCTGACGGAGGCCGTGCGTGACGGCGGCTGGCACATCCGCGACCCCGTGGGCAGCAGCACGGAGTTCCTGTTCGTGCCGCTGCTCAAGCTCGTGTGCACGCTGCTCGTCATGGGCGTGTTCGCGGACGACGACGTGCGGCACATCCTCCTCCTCATCGACCCCGGCGTCTTCAAGGAGCATAGAGACGAGGAGGAGGAGGAGGTGGCGGGTGGCGACGGGGTCGGGGGCGGGAGCCCGGCGAAGGAGTTGCTGGCGCTGGAAGGCGCCGGGGATGAGGAGGAGAAGGACGATTTTTATGACGACGACGAGGAGGACGAGGAGGGGGATGAATACGACGAAGAGGAGGACGAGGAAGGGGATGAGAATGTGGAGATGGTCGAGGGAGAGGCGGAGCATGCCGCGTCCAAAGCGAAGAGGAGGAGGGCATTGAGGAAGAGACGCGGACACGGCGGCGTGGACGACGAGGTGGAGAAGGAGAGCGGGCGGGAGAAGGAGGCAGACGATGCGGAGAGGAAGGAGAAGGCCGCGGGCGACGGCGACGGGGAAGGGGAGGAGGAGGTGATCGCTGGCGAGGGCCTGCTCTACATGAAGCTCGTGGAACCGGTGAAGTTGCAGGTGAGAGGGCGTGGAGGGGAAGGGTGGGCCCAGCCGCTTCGGGGTTCGTGAGACTTTTTTGATTTAAACCGGCTGAAGGGGCTCGAGGTTCACTACGAGGTCGGCCGGCTGGCTCTGAGGTCGGCGCGCTGGGATGCCAGTGTTCAATTCCGGGGGTTACCCGTTTATGACACTGGGTTCTCAAGTGCATCACCAACCGCTCCAACAACCAAAAAATTACATTCAACTTTGTTCTGCACTTTGTGAGCATAGAATACATGTTTTTAATTATCATGGCCTTGCCCTGGGCCTGATGTGATTCTGTTGCCATTGCAAGGACTCTTTGATTCTTGGCTGTGAAATATATCTGTCAATGTGCAGCATCTTGGCATTCGGTCACCATTCCGGCGCTTTACAATAAAGGCGCAGGCCTCCAATTCCCTGCTCACGAACACTGCTGGCAGAGACGGCTTCACTACAGGGAGTTCCAGAGAGCCCCACTAGGGAGGTTATGATGGCGTACTCGTCCACACTGGCCAGACATCCTGCAAGGGGTTGGAGTACCCACGCTTTATCCCAACACACACGACCTGCCGATCTACTAACTGGTTGAGCCCATTTCTACTGCTCGGCAGAGGCGCCGATAAGGGGGGTGGGGGAGGGGGGGAATTTAATAAGCTTGTACCGTCATTGTTTCAACTGCTGCTCCGTGATCTAGAATCGAGTTGTTGACCTCTGAATCGTGAGCCCAGTGTGCTGACCATTAAACAGGCGGGAGCATCCCATTGACGCAATATAATTCAAATTTGGAGCTTGTTGAATCAACGATGCCAGTTGAATCAACGATGCTGGTCACACCTATCATGCCAGTGGCATCGACGATGCCATTCGGATCAACAATGCCGGTGGCACCGACCATGCCTGTCGCATCGTCGATGCGGGACGAACTGACGATGTGGGCCGAGTCACGGCGACATGGGCTGTCGTGTGCCGCCCTGCCTAGATGTGCCACCTTCTGGAGTACCTGTGCGAGTGCCAGCTGCGCCACCGCATCGAGGCGATCGTGGCGTTCTCGGACGCCTTCGTTGCCAAGGTCCAGGCGAACCAGAAGTTCCGCTACGACGAGGTCATGCAGGCGCTCAACATGTCGGCCGCGCACACCGCGCGCAAGACCAAGGAGTTCCGCTCGCCGCCGCAGGAACAGGTGACTCCGAGGGTCGCGCGGACCCACGGCACGCACACTCACCCGCATCGCTCGCTCATCGGACTCGCTCACCTGCTCACACACAGCCACCACTGCTGTAGCCTTACTCTCTCCCTCACGTTCACTCACCCGCTCGCTCACACCGCTCGCTCACCTACTCACTCACCCACAGCCACCACCGCTATAGCCTTACACTCGCCCTCACGTTCACTCACTCATTCACTCATCATATTCTACTCATTCTCATTGCTGCTCGTAATGGGAAAGAGGATGGATCACCATGCGTGTGTTTGTTATCCAGGTGGGCAGCGTTAGCGTAGTGGTTGGGTCACTGCGCTACGAACCCGGCGACCCGAGTACGCTTCCCGCTCACGGCCAACGTCGGTGACAAATATCTGAACTGGTCCTGGGCCTCCACTAGGTCGACTCAAATTGGTACCTTGTGATGTATAACAGTCAGCAATGGGGAGACAAAGGCGGCCGGGCATGTTGCTGGCCACTCACTAAACCATCTGTGAGTCGTGCTGGCATTCATAGGTGGTCGCTCACAGCACTTGCCCTAAGTCTGTTAAAGACTTTATGGGGGATCTTTGTCTTTGTTGTGCAGGTCAACATGCTGGTCAGCTTCAAGAACATTGCGGAGGATGAGGAGAGCCCATGTCCTGATGAGGTTCAGGAGAAACTGGAGAATTTCCATCATGATCTGCTGCTGCATTGCGGTGAGAGCATCCTCTGTTGTATATGGAATATACCATCTGTGGGTAGTGAAGATGCCAGGACATGGAATGTACCATCTGTGGTGAGTGAATCTGCTAGGATATAGGGTATATACCCTCTGTGGATAGTAAATATGCCAGGATATCATGATGATCATAATGATGATGATCACAATCATCATCATTATCATCATCGATGCTTTATATTTATTCCATGCCCATGGCAGGGGACTCCCGGTGGCAGCTGTCCCTGTGAGGCAGAATGTGAATTCAGCACCGGCCTGCAAGTGGCCATTGCTCTGTGACTTTGCTCAATTAAGCACTTTGCGAGTAGTTGGAAACAAATACAAAAAATTGGAGCATGATGTCGTGGTCCAAATCAAGCGACCCCCGCTTTCAACACAGCGCGGGGGAAGTCTTCGTCCAGCAGCGGATCGGAAATTATATTATATGGCTGCGATGGTGGCGAGATGTTAACTACCTCACAGGGGATACAGGAGGTCGTGGGTTCGATCCCAACCCTGACACCTTCTCTATATTGGAGTTTGCGTGTCTCTCTCCAGGTGGTCGCGTGGATTTTTCTCCGGGTCCTCCGGTTTTTCCCTCCACATTTAGAATCAATGTGCGTGTATGGTATTTGGCTGCTATAAAAAAATAAAATCCACGTGATAAGCCACTTCCTTGAGCTATCGTTTGTGGCCAGGTCGCTTCTGAAAAAGAGCGACATAGCTCAGTGGGCCTTACCTGGTAAAATTAAAATATCGTTTAGTTTCATTGATGGTAGTGATGGTGCAAAGGTGAATTTAGCGGTGGTAATAGTGGTAGCACTCGTGGTGGAGATGCCGATGATGATGATGACGACGACGGTGACATCGGCGCTGCTTGGCCAGGCTTTGAGCTTGAGGTGGAGGAGGAGGAGGAAGGGGAGGCTGACCCATCGTGGCGCGGGAAGCTGATGTCCCTGGTGGAGCGCGTGAAGAACCTGCGCAAGGCCAAGGAGGAGGATAAGCCTCAAGACGAGGAGGAGAAGAAGCCGTGTGAGTCTCGGGGCAGATGGCAACGCCCACAGGCCCAAGCCTCGCGTGCAGACACACGTCATCTCCTGCAAATTCACCGTAAACGTTCTCCACGTAATATTGACGGCCGTGTGTCCCGTCTCTTTCTTTCCAACCCCCCCCCCCCCTAATACAAATCTCCTCTTCTCCCAACCAATTCCTATCCCTTCCATCGCTTTCCTTCTCCACCTTGCTCTCTGGTCTCCTCCCCTTGTACACACTCCCCTCCACTCCCCTGCCCTCTACCCCTTCCTCTTCACTACTCCTCTACTCTGATCCCTACCCCCACTCACTTGCTCTCCCCCCACTCACCGTCTCTCCCCCACTCACCACCTCTCCCCCCCACTCACCACCTCTCCCCCCACTCACCTCTCCCCCCACTCACCTCCTTTTCCCCCACCTCTCTCCTGTCCCACCCCACCATCTCCCCCCTCCTCCTCCCCCTCCTCCACCTCGCCCCCCAGCCACGCTGCACGAGCTCATCTCGACGGTGATGATCCACTGGGCGCAGGAGTCGCGCGTGGCCGACCCCGAGCTGGTGCGCGCCATGTTCGGCCTGCTCCACCGGCAGTATGACGGCATCGGCGAGCTGATGCGCGCGTTGCCCAAGACGTACACCATCAGCGACAACTCCATCGAGGACACGCTCGACCTTCTCGCCTCGCTCGGGCAGATCCGCTCGCTGCTGCGTGTGCGCATGGGCAAGGAGGAGGAGCAGCTCATGATCCGCGGCATTGGGTGATGCAGCACGGGGATTTGATGGGGTTCCGTAGAAAAAATGTAATATGTATTTATATTTGTCCGATTGTTATAACCGCCGTTGTTAACGTTGATAGCCGTGGTCACGTGTTAAATCTGTTTAGGCTACTTACTATACAGGGATTCCTGCACTTGGGAACTATTCGACGTACGAACTTTCAGAGATACGAACAAACGTGTCCGTGTGTCCAGTTGCCTGTTCGGACCGACAGCCGCAATCGATGGCATCTACATCTGCAGAACGTGAAGATCTAATGGCATCTGCATCTACAGGAGATTATAAAACTTTTAAAGCCATTCCCCGTGTTTAGTGTACATGCCGCACAACACGTTTGGAATCGACAGGAGTAAAGTTGGACTTACGAACAAATCGACTTACGAACAGACCTATCGAACCTAACTTGTTTGTGAGTAGAGGAGTCCCTGTATTGTCTTCTGCTGCTGCCTGTCTAAACCCTGGAGGTTGGTAATTATTCTCACGCGATGCATCCCCTGGAATCCGCCTGCTAAGTCCCGGATCAGGCAGGTGTGGGCGCCACCACGCGCGGTGTGAATTACAAAGTAGGGGAGCGGTAGTGGAGCGGTTGGTACAACCGCGCCACGAAGCCGGCCACCCGAGTTTGATTCCTGGTCTCGTCCACCAACACCAGTGACTGTTATCTGAACCAGTCCTGGGCCTCCCCTAGGTCGACTCAGCCTCAAATGAGTACCTGGTGCGGTGTGTAAACATCGCCAGTGGGAAGACAATTGCCGCCAGGCGTGATGCTGGCCACCCACACCCTCGTGTGCCGTGCCGGCCTTCACAGGTGCTAGCCAACGGCACTTGCCCCGACAGTCTGTTTTCATTTACAATTAACGAGTCTCCCTCCTGGCGCGTGCAGCAACATCATGAACAACAAGCTGTTCTACCAGCACCCAAACTTGATGCGAGCCCTGGGGATGCACGAGACGGTCATGGAGGTGATGGTGAACGTGCTGAGTGGAGGCGAGGGTCAGGTGAGCGTTTGTTTCCCACCCAGGTTTTTGTTGAGTTTCATGCTTCAAGAACAAAGGTCGCAATGCCGTGCCAACGGTATGGCTCCTTTAAAGGCCAACCATCGGCGGCAATGTTGCCAGCGCCGTTTTGTATCGAGCACGTATGCACGCATGCATGTCGAATTTCTTTCACGCCGTACGTAGCCAACCGTGCTGAACGGAGGTGCGGGAAAATATATAGCTAACCAAATCTGGACTAATCTAATCAGTCGCTCCGCCTAGTGGACGAATGGGATGTCAGCCTCCAATCAGGTCGTGCAGAGAGGTCACGTGACTGCCCAAGGTTATGTGTTCTGTACACCAATCGGAGGCTCAGGTCTCCTTTTCAGGATAGTCTTGCCAAGTTTGCTCAGTCGGGGGCGATTTTACGCTATGATCACGATTGAAAAAATAAAGAACCACAGTGAGAATAATCCAAAAGTTAGACGCGTTTGAACGTGAAACTCAACCCTACTACTTTTCCTATGTCCAAATAGTTTTTGAGTTCTTTAGGTCTCAATGCAAAACGACAGCACTTGGCCTTCCCGAGGCGGTGACGCTCCCCGGCGGTAGCGCGCTCGTCGCTTGTTGCAGAGGTTTGCGGTTCGAACGCGGCGGCCGCCCTGGTTAATACTGCGCTGTGTGTTAACCACTATAATACTACTGGTTCTTTAGGTAAAGTCACGTAGAAAGAAAAATAAATTAAATAATAGCATACGACGTTTCGATTTCAACACAAGCAATCATCATCAGGTACGAATTGAAAGAGAAAACAAACCTGGTAATATAATGCAATACAACACGCAGAGTCGGCCACCACAACAGTCACACACTACCTGGTTGATTACGTTCTTCCAAAGATTGCTAAATTTGAGAGAGAGACAATACACAGACCACAGACAGACACACAAGTAGAGAGAGACACACAGAGACACACAGAGAGAGACACACACATAGGCACAGGGAGAAACCACCTCTGCGTCGAGGGTCTTAAATAATACTATTGCACGAAATCTGCTTCACTCACAGTGGACGTAAAGATCCACTGACATCGTTCGCAAGGGTAGGCCGCCCTGTGCCGTGCGTTGCGGTCCAAAGTTTGCCCAATTCGAAATGTATAAATTTGGTTTTAACTCACAGCAGCAATCACCGCCTCCAGCTGACAGACTCATGCCCCGGGTCACTCTCGCAAATGAGACTCGTAAACCATCACCCAAAAACTCCGCTCATCTCACAGCAGCTTTTGGCTAGCCGTTGAAGCAAAGACGGTCACCACGCGTCACGCGCTTTCAGATGTTCTTCTGTGGCTGTCTGGAAATGCTCTTCCGATATCTAGGAAATCACTGGAGCTATGCACTTTTAAATCTAGATTGAAAACTGAATTTCTTTAGAACTGCTTTTTGTGTTCAGTTTTTTTGTCCTTCCCCCGCACCTCCGATTAGCACGGTTGGCTACGTACGGTGCGAAAAGAAGTTCAACATACATACATGCAGAATCTTTTTTCAGAATGTGAATTATCCTGGAGGAATCCGATGAGCTGTAAAGATATTTGTCACAGATGTCCAGTAGGGGTGGGTAAGAAGTTTACAACACCAAACAAGACATACTGGCCCCTAGAGTTCTCACTCGGTTACACACAAGAACACTTGTAACTCCTTTTCTTGCTGTGGATTTCACACCTGATGATAATTGCTTGTGTTGCAGTCAAAACGTCGTGAGAATTTCTATTGTTTTATATTTTTATTCTTATATTGTTTCCCTTCTACTTGACTTTACCAAAAGAACTAAGAATATGAATCCCTGCAGTCACGAAAGCTTTAAATCAAAACTTGTAACTCCGTTCACTTGGAGGACTTCGTCACAATTATGACTAATCGCCCGATGAAGCTGTTTTTTGTAAGCGCCCTGTGAAACGTCGTACTCGAATTGTAAACACCGTTGGGTTTACTCTCCAAACACGCAACCGGTGTGCTGAAGTAGTCCCCAATTGGTCACGTTTTTTTTTTGTGTACGTGACAAAACCAGTACCAATTGGCTGTGTCGGGTGGTGGCGAGTTACAATTACACGTTTATATGTACGCGATCTAACCCAAACAAAAAACAAAAATCCTTTATCAAGATAACTTGGTTGTTGATGTGCCCCCTCCTCCGCCCCCCCCCCCCCCCCACAGGAGATCACCTTCCCTAAGATGGTGGCGAACTGCTGTCGATTCCTCTGCTACTTCTGCCGCATCAGCCGGCAGAACCAGAAGTCCATGTTTGAGCACCTGAGCTACCTGCTGGAGAATAGCAGCTTCGGGCTGGGCAATGGTGAGCCGCTCCCGTTGGCGTGTACCCATCAACCGATCTCCGGGCCCGCGTCCAGCGTTCGCGACGATAATGACATAAAACTTATAACTGCACTACGAAGCAATTTTATCTTATCAGGTCAGGTCCACTGAGCCTACGTAGCTGCTTTTTCAGAAACGACCTGGCCACAAATGATAGCTCAACGCAAGTGACTCATCCCGTGGACATTTATAGCAGCCAAATACCCTGGAGCTTGCATGTCTCTCTATCCCCGTGGTCACGTGGATTCTTCTCCAGTTCCCTCCGGTTTTTATCTCCATGTTTATAATCAACATCACGCGTTTACAGTGTCTGTCTGCTATACATGTCCACATGATGATAAGCCACTTCGTTTAGCAATCATTTGTGATAGCCAGGTCGCTTCTGAAAAAGAGCTATATTTAGCTCAGCGGGGCCTTACCTGGTTAAAATAAAAATGGTTTAGTCTTTAAGCTTAGCTTTGTCGTGCCGCCTGGCTAACCCCAACCCCCC